ACACGTAGGTCAGACTTAAGCTGAGCAGGGGTATGTGCCTTGCTCCGGATCAGTTCCACCATAACCAGATATGCATGAGGGCCATTACTACATCCCTGCCATGGTAATGCTCATCTTTGCACCACACTCAGACATGCAAGCGGACAGTATGGAGCTAATCACAATAGTCTGCCTTGCAGGGCTGTTGTAAGGTTCATAGAATGCTTTGGAGAGTTGAAATGTGCTGTACAAATACTAATAATTTTAAGGCAAGACTCCTCTGTCTGCCAGAAGAGAAAAAAGTGCTACAGCTCCCAGCACTTACTCTAGGACATATTTCTGGAACTGGAGGGCTTTTTTCTGTCTAAAGAGGTGTAGGCTTGTTTTCCTAAGTGATCTTTCCAGGTTTCCTTCACTACACTTGTGAACTCGTTTTAATTTGCAAGAACTATTGGAAAGTTTCCGAATGAATGAGTGAATGAACAAATTAATGCCTTTCAGGAAGACCTCATCAAACTCCAGTTTTAAGGAAGCCCTACCCTCTTTAGAAGACACAAGGATTGTACATGCCACTTTGATGATAAAGGGAACTAGTGAGACCCCCAAGAAAATGTAGCTGTCTTGTGGAGGGTTTCTGTCTAATGCAGCTGTCAGTCAGGCTTGCCCTGCTCCAGGATGCTCTGTTCCATTCCCGCTTCTCCCTGGTTTTTGTCCTGCTCCCCATCTCCCTAACCTGCACAGCCAGTTATCGTTTGGTGGCCACTGAGCACATGCAGCTCTTGCTGGACTGTTTCAATTTTCTCCCATATACTTTTTTGAGCAGCTGGATACTTCTGCAAGTGGGATATGGTTTTATGTGTTTCATAACCAACTTGAGTACTTTATTTTGATCTGGAAAGGCAGGGTAGTAATCTCCAAAGTTTCTTCTCTTAATCACAAAAAACAGCAAATTCCAGTTCGCATGCAAGGTGGTAAGGACAACTTAATCAGATGCTTGTTGCAGCAGCCCACAGAGGGACACCTGGAAACCTTTTATTGCTCCTAAGAATAGTTGTTCATGCCCATCGTTGCCACTTGCATGCCTTTCTGTTGGAATTCCTCTGGAATTCAAGCAGGTGACCTGTTGAGCTCCCTCTGAAGCAGACCACCATGGGCTGGCAGACCAAATGGGCTTCCAGCGAGTGTTAGTGTATAGGCATTGTTAATCAAGTTGTTCAGGGTGGCATTAGGAGCATCCATTGCCATTCAGGACTGTCTCCCTGGACTCTGACTCTGTAGCTGCTGGACAGCCAGCCCTGAACTGCACTCATTAGCTGTATGGCCCAAAGACTGTCAGACATGATCAGCTGTGCTCTGAGCAACGCACTTGCCAATCAACATCTATGCATTAGTAGTTCTTATAGGAGCTGACATCTATGATTCCTTAAACTAGTTCTCTGTCTGCAAAGCTTGAATCACTTCAGTCAGAACCAGCAGACTTGAACTAATGGTAAATGTTCACATATTTGGCCTCAGGGATAGGTGAAAGTGATATAGATTTTATATTTTGCAATGTATTTATTTTTAAATATATATCCCACCCTTCAAAAAGGGGTTGTTTAGTTTTTTTGTTTTGTGTTTTGGTAGGGTGACTGTGCAACATATAAAAACAAAGTACATCTGATCAAAACTGATATATACAGCACCAAAACCCTTTTTAATAAGTAGAAGTAGTAATAGTAGTAGTATTTAATAGCTTGATAGTAGTAGCTCATAATAATAAAATCCATTTCACGAGGGAGTATAATTGTTTAAAGGCCTGTCTCTCTTCCTCTGCCCCACCTCTCTATTTGGGTGCTCAGCCTGGGGGACTGCCCAAACAGAGGAAACAGAGCTCCCAAATAGAGCGCCTCTATTCAGGAGCTGGGGTGATCGCCCCACCTTACACTCAGTGATGGGTCTCCCGAGCAGAGCTTCCAGAGAAGATCGTAGCATATTGGAGTCTGCTTGGGGATGTAGACCAACCCTCAGATTTCTGCTGTACAGCACCAGTACTTCATACGCAAGTATGAATACTTCAATTACAAGTGGCACCGGCAGCAAACTCTGCTTTGTATTCTTTCCTCCTAGCAGGACTGTAGGTGATCAGGCTGCCAGCGAGCCATAACCTACCTGAAGGCACTATAAGATGCCAGGAGATCAAGCCAGTCCTCCCACTTTCCTCATTTGCCCCCCCCCACCCCCTTTTCCTCCTTTCCTTGCCTGACCCAGAGCTTAAGGCTTCAGTCCCATAAAAGATCTCTATGAAGACAAACACAATCTTGTTTCCCAGCAATCCTGTTCTGACTCAATTTCCATCAGCACTCATCCCCTGTATTGGTTACTGGTGGGAGGGCCACCATGCATGTCATATCCTGGTCTTTTGTGGAGCATACCACTGTGAAGGAAGTCTTCTGCAAAATAGTTATTTTCAGAACCGTAGCAGGTTCTTACCTAGCCTAGCAGCACTGCCATCACCTTTCAAAACACTGACAATCAGAGCAAAGCACCTGCATTTTCTTTAGAGCAATTATTGTGTATGCAACGGTGGGCAGATGGCTGTTAATCTGCAGATCACTGTTGTAGCAGATCACTGCCTCTTTTTAGCCTCGTTCTCATGCTAAGTGTTAAGTGCACTGCTTTCAAGAGGATCAGGCACATTTGGTGTAGCCTGTCTGTGAATATACAGTATAATAGCCTTCACAGATAGATCTTAGTTTTGCTGTGGAAGGGCAAGCTGACGTACAGCACATTTTACTTAACATATTGCTGTGGAGCGTGAGAGGTATGTAACAAAAGACAGTTTGATGCCCGTTACATTTCCAGCTGTCAGAAAGTCAGAATGGTAGACATTTCATGAGCATGAATCCTAACAAGACACCACAGCGGGTGTGCAGGTATTTTTTCTTCAGCGAAAGCTCTGGATTCATGTATCAGTTTTGCCATTGAATTTTAATACACTCCTAATGAGGAAGAGCCTTCTGCCTTAACAGAATCTTGTCTGTTGGATCCTATAAGCAACTGGAGGGTTGCTTAACTGAAAGGCTTCTCATAGTGCTGGAACTTGGGTTCATCCATGAAATTAATCCTGGATAGGAAAAAAAGTCCCTTTAAATACAGAGCGTAACTCATTGATGGAAGGAGTCACCATGCAAGATGGTGGACCCTAGCTGAGGAGGCTTGGATAGGACATAGATGAAAATGCTGATGTTCTTTCAGCTTGAGGGCCAATTTCAGGTTTGGAGGAGCTATCAAGGACTGTCTAGTGGTGAACCTATGGCACACATGCCACCATGGACATGCAGAGCCCTCTAGGCCAGGACACTAGCCAAGTTGCCCGAGCATTGCCCTAGCAGCCACACATCAGATAACAGTGCAGTGCCAGGCGATGATGCCTCAAGCCACGACCCATTAACTGCAACTCGTCCGAGCTTTCGCATGGCTGGTCAGTGCGCTGCCAAGGATATATATATGTTTGCTTGGACTGGCCGTGAGTTGTATTTTCCAAACTAAAACCTCAGTTTTCAGGTATTATTGCAGTGTTGGCACTTTGCAATAAATAAATGGATTTTGGGTTGCAATGTGGGCACTCGGTCTCTAAAAGGTTCTCCATCACTGGGTTAGGGTTGGAAAACGAGGTGTCCTGGCATGATTTTGATGGTTGGAATGTGTTTAGAATGGGCAAAAATGATGAGTTGTGCACAAAAATCTACTCAAGGCTTCCTCAAAATCCCTCTCTTTTCAATGGTACTTCAGCCCTATATTAGGGTTAGGAGTGTGCACCAGAGTAGGGTTAGGGTTAGAGAAATGAGGTGTCCTGGCATGATTTTGATGGTTGGAATGTGTTTAGAGTGGGCAGAAATGATGAGCCATGCAGGAAAAGCTACTCAAGGAAGACTTTTACAAAATTGCCCTCTTTTCAATGGAAATTTACCCCTGTATTAGGGTTAGGGGTGTGCACCAGGGTAGGGTTAGGGTTAGAAAAACGAGGTGTCCTGGCATGATTTTGATGGTTGGAATGTGTTTAGAATGGGCAAAAATGATGAGCTGTGCAGAAAAAGCTGCTCAAGGAAAGCTTTTTCAAAATCGCTCCTTTCAATAGTGTTTTACTCCTATATTAGTGTTGGGGGAGTGCATCAGGGTAGTTAGGGCAGTGGTGGTGAACCTATGGCACGTATTCCACAGCAGGCATACAGAGCCTTCTCTGTTTGCACGTGAGCCAATTCGTGGCAACATCGCCCCAGGAGCCTAATATCGGATAACAGCACACATATGGGCCATATGCATACTCGGAAAGGAGTAGCGGCGCCAGGCAATGACATCATGAGCCGTGACTTGTCCAAGTTTTTGCATGACCTGTCAGTTCGCTTTTTCATGGCTTGATATATGTATATTTCCTTGGACTGGCTGTGAGGTTTTTTCCAAACTAAAACCTCAGTTTTCAGTTTTTATTGTAGTGTTGGCACTTTGTAATAAATAAGTGGGTTTTGGGTTGCAGTGTGGGCACTCAGTCTCTAAAAGGTTCATCGTCACTGGGGACCATGTTCCAGTGATGGGCATGACCACAGGCAGAATGAGTGAGGCCAAAGCCAAAAGGGCAGGGCCAAATATATCTATATTAGAATTATTTAAGTAAAGCTCTTACTGTCAGTAAGTAAGCCTTAGAAGACACATTTCAACTTTTTGGATTGGGGAGGGTGGAGATTCACAAAGGCTGAGAAGACACCAAAGGACAGGGTCAGGTGAAGATTGCCCTGAGGTTCAACACCTTTGGATTTTACAAATTTGTGGAGGGCAGCTAAATGGGATGTTCATATACGCGGAAGTAGGTCTCTAGAGTCCATATACTAGGGGAGGGGTGATACCAGGGGAGGCCAATCTTCTTCACTTGTTTGTGGGCTTCCTGAAACTGACTGGTTGGCCTCTGTTGGCAGTAAGATGCTGGACTAGATGGAACTTGGATGTGATGTTCTGAGATGGTGCTTCAATTTCTTTTCATTCAGGGTACATCGAAGAAGCTTGCATCATTCCTTGCCCATCAGACTGCAAGCTTAGTGAGTGGTCCAGCTGGTCCCGCTGTAGTAAATCCTGTGGCAGTGGTGTAAAGGTCAGGTCGAAATGGCTCCGGGAGAAGCCCTACAATGGTGGAAGGCCATGCCCCAAGTTGGATCATGTCAACCAGGTAATTTTCTAGTCTTTGCACTTCATCACTTTATAATTATTTCTATTACATTTGAAATCTATACAAAGATTAAGACATTTCTTCTCTTTTTAAATACTTCATTTTAAGACACAAACATCAAAATAGCAGCACTGCCAACAGAGGATAAAAAATGACAATGGCTACTTGGATCTAATCTCATTATGGTGCCTTTTTAAGTGCTTAGGGGCACCTGGAATGTCTGTTTGCACTTTGTCCTTCTTAGCATGCAGAGTCCATGTTGGTTTATACCTAGGATCCAACCTTTTACAGGGTCCCCTGACCTCCCATTGTAGAAGGTCCTGGAATAAGTCTGGCAGTGCAGGGCAGAAGAAAGAATGTTTTGAAAATAAATAAATACAACTTTAAAAGAAATATCAATACATACAGAAACTGCAGGTGGCAGGTCCTCTTAGCAGAAGCCTCCTCCCTCTACTCTCACATAAAAAGTAATGTGTCTTCTAGTTGATGCTGATCTGAAATACACACGCTGCCTCTAATTTGTCCGTTCGATAGTCACCTCTGTTGTTTTAGTTACCATTGCAATTAATTAATGGATTACAACTCATTACTCAACTACAATTAATTGGGTGATGGCCCTGCTTTATACTGGCTTATTAGTATACAAGAGAGTTCTGCTTTTATATGTTTGACCACAGCAATAGTGAAGATGGATAGATGTGTGTGTGTAGAAAAACAGAAGAAAATGCAAGTAGAAAGCAGAAGCAGAAGCAAAAGTAGGAGTAAAAATAGGAGAACGACCATTTGGGGCTTCCTTCAACAGATGTTTAAGAAGCTTTTGGTCTGATCCAGAATTAGCCATGTTTAGAGTAGACCCATTGAAGTCAATGGACTGTGTTAATCATGAAAAACTCTTCCTGGTTATTTCAGTGAATTTGGAACACTCATTCAGCCCGGCCCCCATGTTCAAAGCAACTGCATAAAAGAAAGACAGCTTTGTATCCTGCCCAGATCTGACTGATGTCCAACTTGAATTTTGATTTAATCTGCATTTTCCCCAGCAAGTGAAACACTCCCCCCACCATTGAGTTTTCATTTCCATAAATTCTCTTTCCTGTGGGATGAAAAATATGCAAAGGGAGGAACTGTTGTCCATTCATCTTTGAATAAGATGTACATTTGCTAAATGCCATCGTGTTGACATTTTTGCAGGCGCAGAAGGAAATGGCCTGCTGATTTGATTTTCTACTTAAGAGGATGTAATTAGTTCTAGTTTAGAACATAATAAGTGTTAAACTAAAGCTAATAAACCAAATTTGTAATCCAATTTAACACTAAACACAAGTGAGCATAAAGGCTAGGTTTCTGAGGACAGGTATGAAAATCTGGGGCAAGGTAGGAGATATTTTAATTGGAATGTGTACCAAATCCTCTGCTTCCAGAATAATTCACAATACTTCAAAATCCACTCCCATTCTTCAGATATTAAAATAGTGGGTGAGTGGATGATGAGCTCTATTTTTATAACAATGCTGCCCTCTAATGGTAGCTTGTATAGCATTTGTCATATTTGTAATTTTACCTTTCAGTTGAGGGTTCATTCAGACCTTGCCTCTGTCGCTCATTGTTCTACCACTAAAGTCCAAGGAATTCCCATAAATACATTATTTCTCCTCCTAGAATTGCAAGCTTGGTTTTTAATCTTCCTTTGGCACTGAATTTAAACAACTGCATACATGTCTCTGTACTGAAAATTGTGGCACAATTTGCTGAAAGAATCTGGCCAGGGGTGTTAGGAACAGATATGGAGGTGAAACTTAAGACTGGATTTTGGGGTTGGACGTGTCCTTGGGTTGTTAAATGTATATGAGTTGCTTTCTTTCTTTGCTTCTGTCAAAAAAGCATTGACAGTTCAAACAAAACAAAGCATCCAAGCAAGGGAACTCACTACAGAGCAACAAACACACCAATGGAATAAAGAAAATGGCTTCAGGGAGGAAGTGCACAGCCAGAGAGAAAGAGCCAAAGTGCCAAACCTCTGTCCAAGTCATTCATGCATACTTGTGCTCTGCTCTGTGGAGGTTTGAGGTTATGTGTAAGGATAATGCACCACAAGGGGCCCAGTGACAGCTTGTATGTAGTGTGCTCCAACATGTGTGATCTCTTCATCCAGTTTTCTGTAACAGCACCAACAAAAGCAAAGCCATTGGTCTGGGCAAAGTCTTGGGGACTATCGGTTTTATTTATGCCCGAGCACCAGGGCGCTCTGGAGGCTGAGCTCGCAGCCTGCCCCTTGCAGTTGGCATGGAAAGAACCACAGTGGCTGTCCGCACCACAGGGGGACACCTGGCCTTGCTGGAGCGGGGGCACGATGGGATAGGGAAGGGAGGAGGCTAAGGCCCTGCAGTTGTACCTGTCCCATTTGGTGCCCCAGCCTTCTTCCCTTCCTGGCATTAAATCTAGATGGCAGAAAACAACTGTCTACAGAAAATGCTAGGTGTGATGCACAACAGTTCCCATGGTGCTCAAGCTCTTATATTGGACACTCGCAAGCCTCCAAGTTTGGAAGCTTAGGAGCATCTGCTGCAGTGGCTGTAGGACTACTCTCTGAGTAACATGCCCACTCAGGGAGCATGAGGTACTAAAGGATATTCTACACTTCATGAATATCCTTTAGTACCAAATGCACTCCCTTCTAAATCTCAAAGTGTGGGAATCCCACACATGCAGCTTGTCTCAGTGAGACTGTGTAATCTGCCCTTTCTCTCCAGCTTAAAGGAAATCAAGAAGCTGGATCCTAGAGTGTGTTTGCAATAAAAGCAGCATATGGAAGGCATGTATACAATTCCTTCAAACACAAGTGGAAGGATTAGAAGGCACAGCAGGCCTGGTGAACAATTTTATTTATTTATTAAAACATTTCTATGCCGCTCCATTCGCTGAAGCCTCGGGGCGGCTCCCAACATAAAATTAAAATACAAGAAATAACAATATAAAATAATTCTCCCTGGCCAGATAAAATAAGCAAATAATATTAACAATTAAAATGATGCTTAAATAAAAAGGTCTTCGCCTGGCACTGAAAAACAAATAACGACGGCGCCAGGTGGACCTCTCTGGGGAGTGCATTCCATAGATTGGGCGCCACTGCAGAGAAAGCCCTCCTCCGAGTACCTACCCTCCTAATTTCTTTCACAGAGGGTTCCCGGAGAAGGGCCTCTCCTGCAAAATATACAATTTAATGTATATTTAAATTGGGTGCTTGATTATGTTTTTGTTTAAATAGCGACTATCATTAGCAAGTGACTGGAATTGCAATATGGAGTGGACTAACATAATAAGTAATATCACAGTGCTACTGCATGTTATGCTATTCCCATGTCTTGGAATCAGTGTGAGCAAGTGTCACCCTGATTTGGGAAACGGCGCTCCAGGAGGGAGGCATTAGGCTTCACCCCACTTTCATCCCAAAGTTTACAAAATTATGCATGGTGAGGAGAAAGTGGACAGGGAGACATTTTTCTCCCTCTTACGCATTCCCAGAATCCAAGGTTGTCCCTCATAGTGGAAGAATTGGGACAGATAAAAGGAAGAACATTTTCACACAGTGCAAAGTTACGCTATGAAATTCAGTGCTACAAGATAGAGAGATGGACACTAATTTGGGCAGCTTGAAAAAGGAACTGACAAATTCAGGGGGAAAAGGCTACTTGTCCTGGTGGTGATATGGTACTTCCCATATCAGAAGCAGTGTGCCCACTCGCACCAGTTTCAGGGCCACATGGGTGGGGGAGTACTGTTGTACGCACGTGCTCCTCACGGATCTCCTCTGAGCAGCTACTTGGCCACATGTGAATGGAATGTTGGACTACATGGACCTTGGTGTGATCCAGCACGACATGACTTAAAGTTCTTACCTAAACAAACAACAATTTTTAACACTTAGGATATAATTGTATGTATTCTTAGACCCCTGATCCCCACAAAAAGAGAAAAGTTCTACAGCTCCCAGCATCCACTAGCCAGCATCACGATGCTGGAAGTTTTAAAACAAAGTGTAAATTTGAACTCCCATATCTTTATTCATACTCAAAGAATGTGATAAATTTACACCAAACTTGTGTACTTATCACCTGTTTTGCTCACTGATAGATAGATAGACTTAATTACACTTGAGGTTTGGTTTGTTTATTTGCTAGGCATCTGAAAAGAGAAAACCTTCTGCAGACTTTTAATACAAATTTTAAATTTGGAACAATCTCTTCTTAATTCTTCTTGAAACTGTTCCAGCTCCCTGAAAGTCATTCTCTATTTCATAGAATCATAGAATAGTAGAGTTGGGAGGGGCCATGAAGGCTATCGGCTCCAAGCCCCTGCTGTTGCAGGACACCAATTTACACCATCCCACTCAGATGGCTGTCCAGTTTCTTTCTGAATGTCTCTCATGACTCTAGGCAGCTGGTTCCACTGTCATAGCTTGCCATGGCTTGTGCCTTTTCACCCCTTCATACATCTTAAGTTCTTTCTATACCTCAAAATTGCACAAATGAATGTTAATAATATTTTAAAAAATAATTATCTAACCAAGGTATGAGGCAATGTAGTGTTCTGTCTAGATATGGACATCAGATTCTGACTATAGACACATGTAAAGACTTTCCTCTCAAAATAAGGGCTTTGGATATGTTATTCAGCTAAGGAGCAAACTATTGACTTCTCAAATACTGGGCATGGAATAGACGTGCTCTCTGCAGGAACAGGAAACAGATCATTGGAGAGCAAATATATCTTTCCCTGTTCTTACTGTATCTTTTTCATAGAGCAAAGGAAAAAAGCAAAAATATTTTCAAAAGCATATTGATCTCTTCTTCCTATTTAAACCCAGTGGAAATATAGCTATCCTTTAAGACATTCTAAACAATCAATGATATCAATAGGAAGAAGGGGAAACTCATCCTGTGCTACAAAGGCAAATTCTAAACCAGGTATATCTGTATCAACTCAACCAGATACCTTCAAGCAGGAGTTTCTCTCAGTGTGAAGGCCCAAATGTGTTTTGCAAGGATAATTACTTCTTAGGAGAATTCAGCAAGCCTATTTGTTAATCTCTGTTTTGTTTCTTAACTATTGTTTTTATTTACCTTTTGCTCCTTGCGCTCATGGCCAACACCTATCCCAGGCTCAGGTAAGAGTCTGCAAAACAGATGCAATGTACCGAAGCATGCTCCCAGTTAAAATTCCCCCCAAAGTGTGCATTGTTTGCCTTTGGCTGTAACTTTTTCTTGAGGCTCTTAAGTGTGCTACTTGTGATGCTGTTATGTGTAGAGCAGCCACTGGCTTTACTGTCTGGGAGAGGGGAGGAAATAGTGGTATACCCAGAGTGGGGATGAAAAAACTCGTTGGAGCTTCACCACCATCAGTGATTGCAAGGTTGGGTAGAGAAATGGGAGTGATGCATAATGAGTTGAATTCTGTGCTAGTCCAGCTTATGTCCCATTTATTCCAGTGAGCCTTTCCTAAGTAGCATTAGCATTGGGTATGACCCATAGGGCAGTGTCCAATGGTGACATTCTGTGGTCAGTACTAGTAGAACTCTGTTGAATCTTCACTTGTATATCATTACTCAGCTGTTTGCACAAAAGATTAAACAGGTGTTATGAGCAAGAGGTTGTGCACACATAACAAATGACTGCTTGAGCAACCCCACTTGCACAAATGTAACTTTCCTTTGAGACTTCTCCTGTGTGTAATTCGGAATCTAGTTTCCATGAGTGCATCATTATTTTCATTAATGGAATGATACCTTTTGACACTGTCCACTGAACCCAGAAGGGGCTGCTGAACCCAGTCTGTGTATCCATTCAGTTGTTGCATTGCAGCCATTTCCCTTTCCAAATTCTTGGGATGTCAGCATCTGAGAGAAATGCAAAACAGCACTGAAAGCCAGGCCAAGCATATGGGAGGTTAATTGTGGGCCAGGGGAGTGAGACTATGAGCTGGCACCAGCCAGAAGAGAGAAATGGGAGCCAAAAGAACTGTGAGGTTTTCTATACACACTCTTGCCAGAAATGTTGTGGTTAAGGCTGCAGTCCTTTGACATGTTCTTAGGAGAAGGCCACATTTAAGTCAAGGTTTGAGTTCCAGGTCCTTTTTAACTGGATGGGAAGCTGAAAAGCTTCTGCTGCTTGTGTGAGATGGGGGACAAAGACTGGTATGGCAGGGGTTTGGGGTGATTTCAACAGAAGGCACATGAAAGGTGGCTTCCCACCATCCAAACCCTTGTGCCACGGCTCTTCACAAAGGAATCAGAAAGATTTGCCTTTGCGTGTTTGCTGGGGCAAAGCTAGGTACCAAAACAGGCATTGCGGAGTGGCTTTAGAAACAAGCAAACACACCCATCCCTTGCTTGCTAATGCTGATTGCAAATGCATGACCCCTAATGTTCGAAGTATATGTTTTCCCATCTCACTTTCGTTGTAAGTACTGAAAGCAATGTACTCAGTAGATAAAGGTCACGATGTCTCTGCTGATTCCATCTGTTGTACACCAGTATGTGAAGCCAGCTCATCTTTTCTGTGTTTCAGGTATATGAGGTAGTCCCTTGCCACAGTGACTGCAGCCAGTACGTAGGAGTCACTGAACCATGGAGTGTGTGCAAAGTCACCAATGTGGACTTAAAGGAGAATTGTGGAGAGGGTGTACAGACCAGAAAAGTGAGGTGAGCTGAGCTTTAACGCCATCACTTTAGAATGGAGTGGGGTGGGGGAAGTCCTTTATATTAAATAACAACCTTTGGAAAAGTAGTTTGATGGGGAGAAAGCTGGATGCACCAAATCATGAAATTCTCTGTATATTGGCACTGTCATATAATTACGCATAAATAACTCTGCTTCTGTGCTCGTGCTTGGAGTCCTGCTGTAAACAGCATTTTTAAAATCTGTGGAGTACGTAGGTAGGCAACTGCTTTGTTTTTGCAGGTGTATGCAAAACACTGTGGATGGTCCTTCAGATACTGTTGAAGATTACCTATGTGACCAAGAAGAAATGCCTATTGGTGCTAGAAAATGTACATTGCCGTGCCCAGAGGATTGTGTTATGTCTGAATGGGGCCAGTGGTCTAGGTGTCCCTTGGTAAGAACACTATTGCAAAAAAAACCACAATAACAACTCCAATGTATAGATGGAGTTTAAGAACCAAAAGAATGCCTTGTTTAGTAAAATCAACATCCCACCAGTAGTCTTTCTCCAGTGGTTATCCAGGTTCCCCTGAGAACCTCACCAAGAGAGGAGGAAGCCACCTCATGCCAGGTCAGACGAGTGTCCCATCTAGCCTAGGATTGCCAGTCCTCGAAGTGGCTCTCCAGGATCCCAGCCAGAGGTCCTTCACCTCAGAGACAACAGGGGCTGAACCTGGTGCGTCCTCATGGAGAGAGAGAGAGTTCTCTACCAATGAGCCATGGTGCTGGAAGAACATAAGAGCCATGCTGGGTCAGACCAAACGTCTATTTAGTCCAGCATTCTGTTCATACAGTGGCCAACCAGTTGCCTATGGGAAAACCACAAGCAATATGTGAGTGCAGATAGGCCCACCCAACCCATGATCCACAGCAAACGGTATACCCAGCCATGCAGAATCTGATACTGGGGGTAGTATCTAGCCATCAGGTCTAGCAGCCATTGATAGCCTTCTGCTCCATTGATGTGTCCAGTCCCCTTTTAAAGCCATCCACACTGGGGGCCATCACTGCATCTCGTGGCAGTGCGGAGCACTTCCTTTTCTCTATCCTGGGTCTCTCAGCAGTCGGCTCCACAGGATGACTCTGAGTCCTAGGATTAAGAGAGATGGAGAAAATTGTCTCTCTCTCCACTTTCTCCTCACCATGCATCCTTTTGTATGCCTCTGTTATGTTTCCCTTTATTCATCTTTTTTCCAAAGGTAAACAATCCCAGGTGTTATAGCCTTTCCTTGGAGGGGAGTAGCTCCACCCCCTTGATAATTTTGTTTGCCCCTTTCTGTTCTTTTTCCAACTCTGCAAAAGCCTCTTTAGGTGTAAGAAGAAATACACAGTATTCTAAGTGTGTTCACATCATAGATTTGTATAAGCATATTATGATATTAATGGGGTTTCCCCCAGTTCATTTTCTGATCACACCTAACATAGAGTTTGCCATTTAGGAGCAGTTATACCCTGAATTCACATTTTCACAGAGTTGTCCCTGACAGCACACTAAAGGATAGCCCTTCCTGTGTTACTTCTCTTCACCAGAAGATAGTCGTAGTTTTGGAGGCTGAGTGGACTTCCCTGGGCTTGATTTTGTTTGGAACTGGAAAGTATGAATAGCATTGAAGAATCCCCTGAAAAAAGTGTTCTCACCCCACCCCCATGCTAACTATACTCATGATAAGTAGATAGTCCCAACCCTTCCACCTTGTGAGCTTCCAAACGCCCCTCACCTTGCACTTGATTTCCATATTTTAATAAACTAAATAAATTTTAATATATTTCAGCAACATGTGCAAACCAGGCCAATAAAATGGGATTCAGAACTTAGGGTAGAGCCATTCAATTCAATCTGTACAGTCAATCCATTTGTAACTTGCAACTTGTAACTTGATGTCAATGGGTCTTTTCTAAGTATGAGTAAGTAGATTCAACCTATTCAACATTTTCTGTGTATATAATTATTTTAGAATAGGCATTGACGCTTATTTATTTTAATTCTGTCCTGGCCTTCTTCCAGGAGATCAGGATGGCCTCTCTGGTTCTCATCTCTTCTCCCTGATCTTTTATCATTGCAACATCCCTGTGAGGGAGGTTAGTCTAAGAATTAGTTACCAACCCAAGGGAACTGACTGAGCTTTCTGACCAAGTAGCCTAGGTCCCCTCGGTTTTAGTCCAGTTCTTTGACTGTTGTGCTACACTGGCCTATGCAAAGCACATTTTATATAACAAAGGACATGATATGTGGTTTTCTTTCTCAGCCATGTAATGGAAGCAATGTGAGGGAACGGTCAGCAGAAGCCATGAGGCAATCCCAAGGAGGAAAGGCATGTCCTGCTACTGTGGAAACCGAGCTCTGCAGCCTGAACAAAAATTGTTTCCACTATGATTACAATGTGACAGGTACCAACGTTAAGAACTAGAAGATGACAAGGAAGACCTGTGACAAAATGCTGCAGGATGGACTGCTCCTCCTCATGGTGCTAGCCAGCTAGCCAGCCAGCCATGCCCTCTTTCAGATATTCCATTCCATGCCCACCCCTGTTTTCCATATTTTGTTCTTCCTCCCAACATTTAGCCAGCATCCTGTGGCTACTGAGCATGTTCAATCCTTGTTGGGCTACTTTGGGTTCCACCCCTTCTTTTCTAAAGATTTTTTTGTGGGGGATGGGGGTTCTTCCATAAACCGTGGGGTTTACTTGGAGAGTTAAATCCCTAAGCTTCTCCATTTTATTTATAATGTTGGCCTATGAAATACAGAAACACCATTTAGGCTACCATCCAATGGACCTTTAACTTTTTTTACATAAGTCATTTATTTGTGCAGTCCTCATTTCCTACTCACAATTGTTTAGGGAATTTTTACATAATGCCATGTCATGTTTTGATTCTGTGTTTGCTGAGCACTTTCAGCAAGTTTTTCTAGAGCAGGAGAAATTTATTTGTTCAACTGAAACAAACCACTTTGTACCTTGTGTAGTTATATTATTCTCATACACCACAGTGCCACCTAGAGGTTATGTAGTGGAAATGCAGGAAAAGAAACAGTCAAGAGAATCAGAAGTAAATACAAAAGATTAACGCCTCATGTAGAAAAACTCTCACTGAGGAGTTCACTCACAGGAGTGAACTCACTGTGTCTCATCTTCTATTTAATAATCATGATAATATTGCATTGTTATAGGCAGTTTGATACTTGTAGTTTCCTGGTAGACTGGCATGAGCAGCCCCTCATCTGTAGGTCATCTGGATTTTAAAGCAATATGAAACAGAATACAGTATTGATAAGGGCAGAATGGAATGCTGAAGTCTCGTGTCTCCCATTTTCACTGGTGACTGATCCTGCTTGTTTCTTCAATGTCTAGACTGGAGTACATGCCAGCTCAGTGAGAAAGCTGTCTGTGGTAATGGGATCAAAACAAGAATGCTTGATTGTGTCCGCAGTGATGGCAAGTCAGTGGACTTGAAGTACTGTGAAGAGGTAGGTGGGTGTGTGCTTTTTCTTTCTCTGGCGGTGGAAATATGCTCAGCGGGTGCTTTCCTTCAGACCCAGTCAACTGGTGCTGTGCTGTGTGCAGCTCAGTGCTCTGACAGATGTTTCCCAATGCTATTTAAGGACTTTTATGTACCCCATAAATGAGCCTGTCCCATAATCAGTGATTTTGCCTTTTAATTTCTTCTATTTGCTTAAGTATGCAACCACAAAGGTATGCTAATTTTCTTTTTTAATCTCCTGGAAGTAATGGATTGGGAACAATAAGCAATCACGGTGGATAAACGTAACAAATCTTAATCAGAATGATAATCATCCTTCTAATTTGAATTGATTCCTTTGTAGTGCTTTGGCCATCTGCCAGCATCATTTTATTCAATTTATCCTTTCCCCTTGCACCCAGTACCACTTTTTTAGACCCAGATTTTTAAAGCTAGGAACCTTTTCAATAACATTGGAAAGCCTGTAGCATTAACAAAGAGCCTCTTATATAAGTACGCTTGAAAATTTAATCCTCAGCTAGCAAACTGTATAACCTTTATATAATTGTTGTGCTTGTCTACTAAGTACCTTCTCTGTACAGGCGATGCTGTTGTTTTGTACAGTTGTTTGTTTTTGTATTGCATGATTTTGTCCATAAGATAACAAAATATTCATGAGGTCAGAATGATTTTCCTGCCTCATAGTTGGGGATCTGAACAATCCTCTGGCCATCTAGAAATTGTCCAGCAGCAGTAGGATTGCTTGTTAGTGTGTCACAAAACTTGCAGATTCAAGTACCACAAACTGTTAGATTGGAAGGGATGTAAAGTTCCTTGGTATATCATGCCATGGACAAAGTGGAAGCCCTGAGCCAGGTTTGTTAGTTTTAAAGGAAAGTGCGCAACGTGTGAAATTTGCTCTCAGGCCAAACCTTCCTTGCTTCAACTTGCTCCATGCCGATATAAGTTTACAAAACCTACTGATCTGACCGGGCAGAAACAAATGACAGGTATTTCCTTCTTTATGAAAGAAATTGCAGAGATTGGGTCCGCTCCTCCTATAATACAGCCATCAAAGTTTGTTGGCACAGATTCTGATTCCGAAGTGGAAGAGGAGGAGACATGGCTGGAATTTGCAGCTGAAATGCCAAGGCCAATGGTCCCAGATAAAAACTAGGTGTTTACTGAGAACCAGACAATTCTTAGTTCCGTGGGAAAATCTAGCAAGCTAGCTGATATGAGAGGAGTGGACACAACATCATTAGTCCAATATTGCTGCATCAGGTTAAGAGGTCAGATTACCTGAGGACAGCCCAAATGCTCCAGATGATTGGCATACAAGCAGCAGATTGTTTTGGCTTGGAAGGCAGGAGGAGTATTCAGTTTGGAAGCAACTTGCTCTCCTTAAGCCACATTTCCCTGATGGCCAATATTCTAACTTTACTTTTGTCTTTGGTATTGGTGTCTGCAATACTCTTCTTCCATATCACAAAGCCAGCCTGGCTGACTGGCTTTAATGTAATAAAAATTTTAGTTAGAAAGGGAAGATGAGGAGAAGACCAGTTCACCACTTAGATCTACTTGCAAACAGACCCAGTTTGTGCACCGAGCCATTGTTGATGTGGCTGGTTCTGTTTACATTTTAAAGTCTTGAGCAGATAAATTATTTCTTTGGATGTTCGCCAGTAATTCCTATTGAAGTTAATAGTGTGTGGGTAGTGTGCACAGACATGCTTATATTTCCAAATGAAACTCGATGATCAGGCTCTGTTGTATTATTTTATATTGCTTACTTAATGAGACATGATACAATATGTGTCTCTGGACACAGATATTTGAGAAGCAAGCTTTCCTGAAACAATAAATAATGGTGGATTAATTCAATGGGAACTCAGAATAATTCATTCCTTTCCATAAAATAGAACACCTGTTGCTAGATCACGTGGGGAGCAACACTTCTGCATCCTTGAAACTGACATCCACAAGAAATATTTTAACACTGGGCTTTTGCTACTTCCATGTTTACTGTTTATTTCACTTAAAACTTCCACTGGCAGCCCTTAGGCAGCAGGATAGAGAATATAAATCACCCTGCCCAATCCTAATGTAAAGGTCACATATTGTGTATATACAAAGTGTACATTTTAGGAATATCTGGACAAATGAGGGTCTTAGCTGAAAGTTACATGTGTTGAAATGCCATGCTAAGCTTTTGCCAGCCAGCCAGCCAGATGGGGTTGCTCTGGCTTCAGAATAACTCACTCACTCACTCATCCAGCTGTAACATTTCTAGCTGTTTTTCACCAAGCCAATTACAAACTCATGTCAAGGCAGTTTTAAACTGAAAGGTGTTCACTGATCAGTCCAAGGCCTGCATAGAAGAGCTTAGACACACATCAGTGTGAAGGATGTTCTGCAGTGTTGGGGCCACCATCAAGAAGGTCCTGGCTCTTGTGCACATCAACCTTACAAATGTGAATGGTGGGGCCTCAAGAAAAACTGTTGATGTAGGTCTTAGCATATGAACAAGGCTATATGGGAGATGGTGACCCTTCATAGCCTTGTTTCAAATGGTTTAGGGCTTCATTGCTAGCTCATTCTACCCTTTTGCACTGGTGGGAATAATAATAGGAAATGTCATGCAAATGTTGCTATCTGTCCCAATTTCAGCTCTTTGGGTGTAACAAAATTACTTGTGCTGCAATATATTAGCTTATAAGCAACATGGGGGGAATAACTGAAAATGCATTAGAAACAGTGAATTAATTACAGTAGTTAGAGTGGAAGCTTAATAATCAGTGGTTGAGTAGTACAGAGATCCCGATGATTTTTTATTTTTTTTTAAGTAACAGTGGCCCAGTGTGACATCTGGTCATTTTACTTGTAACACACAAGGATGTAGGATGTGGCATAGAAAGACTGCTCCTGTAACGATGTCCAGTAAAATCTGTTTATGAGATTAGCAGGAGAATCGCATCGCTAAGCTGTTGCAGATCCCTTCATTGAAGGGGAGTGAAAGTGAAGTTGAATTTTCATAACATGTCTTAAAGACTAATACATTCATTCTAGCATTAGCTTTCTTTGGTAGTCTTGAAATCTTTTAGATTTCTTTTGTTGCGACATCCAAGTGCAGTTATTCTTGATTGTTGCAGGTGACCACGTTTGTCTATTATATATGATTGTAGATTTTCCAAAACACTGTCCTTGGATCAACTTGTCACCATTAGTGTTTTAATTATTTTTATTGTGGTTTTAAAACCAAAACCTAAAATGAAAAAATATATATAAAAATTACAGTTTTCTTACATTAACATTGAGTGAACCTATTACAATGAATATTATGTACCAATAGATATTTTATGTATAGTAAAATATGCTGCTATTGTTAGAGACAATTATGCACAGGCTTCAACAAAGGCAGCCCAGGTATCCATGTATTGGCCTAGACCTAAAAACCACCAGTTCAAAAATCAAAAGCTTCATCAAGTCCCCAACCTATTGTGTTACTGCTGGTGGCTGTCGGTGCTTCCAAACTTGTAATATTAGTATTTCATTTCTCAAAGGGGCATAGAGAATCTATTTATACATGTTCTTCTTAACTATCTACCTATCTTTTAAAATTTAATGCAAGGTCAAATTGTTGTCACCATTAATTCATTGATACTTCTGGATGTTATCTATAATTCTATGGAGACAAATGTGTGTGTGTTTGCTGAACAGAAAGTTAAGGATGCCATTCTTGTTCTTAGAAAGGAAATATATGTTTTAAGAAAGATACTATCCTCTCTAAAAAGTTAAATAGTGTTAAATATAAATATATAAGCTGCTTTATGGAACTGTATCTCTTTAAGTGTTTTGCTCTTTAAGAAATATGTAAATACTTGATTTGTATAGGAACCTTTTTTTTTTCTTTCATTTTGTTGTTTTTTCCACTTTTCAAAGGGGACAAAGACAAGGGACAAGTTTATCCTGACATAACAGTTAATTCATAAAACATGCAATCCTCTGATTGTTGGGAGGACATACCAGGGACATAAGAATATGTTGTATCTTCCCCTCCAAGGGTGGAGAAAGAAGGCTAACCTTTGAACTCCCTTCCAGTCTTTGTGGAAACCTCTGTGTCCAATTCTTCTATGATGACAGAACTCCTATGCTCGAGAGGTAGGAAAGGCTAAGAGCTGGGCCCACCGGATCCATAGCCCATCTCGTCCCCAGACATGCCCTCCAAACCAGTGGCAGATCTACAGAGGTGGTTCAGATTCACCAATGAACAAATAAGAATTAATTCATGTAAAACATTCAGCCAAGGGTTGGGGCATTTGTCCTGCATTGGTGTCTTCTGGTAGCAGGAGCCCAGGGTTGGGCTTTGTAAATGGCTTCATGTCTCGCTAGAGATCTCCTCAATGCAGGTAGGACTGTTCTGTTAATGTTCTCTCCACATCTAAATAGTGCTTTCTCCAAGGAAGAGCTACACTGGTTCTTTTTGATGTATTACAACCTGTAGCCTAGTTTTTACTTCCCAGAAGAACAGATTTCATTACTTCTCTTTTCAGTCTTGCTTAAAGACTAGAACTACCCTCAACTAAAATCCTGTTAACATAGTGTTTTATAAATTCCCAGAAGAACTGTAAGTAGCATTTCAATGTGCAGCAGCTTTTCTGTTTTAATCTACCAAGAGTATTGCCTAGGTACACAGAGTATTCATTGTAGCATCTTCAGTGTGTATCAAGTGTCAGTATTATAAGGCATCTTTTATGAGCTCACCTACCTTTTCAGTCAATCTGCTAAAATAAGCTACTGCAAGCATCTTTATAGCTGCCAGGCTTAATGAACTCCTAGAACATATTTTGAATGTGTCCCATTGTTTAGACTATCTCAAAGAACAGTGGAACACCACTAGCCTCTCCTGGGTGCAAAAATTAACACATCATAAAACTTTTCTTGTGAGTTCCTTCAGGTCTTTGAAATTCAAATCACCTAAATTCAGGACAGAGCTCATGCTGTTCAAAATACCCAGATGCTTCTTGTTGCTCATTTACCTACATTAACAAATTGGAAGAGTCTGAAGTAAGATTTCTATCTGCTATTCTGACCCTTTCCTATATGCAGTGCTTTAAAAAGTAAACGTCACTTTCTTGTTAATGGGCATATCCCGCTTGACTTGCCTGCTAAGCTTAGACAGAGATCTCTTGTTAAATTCTAGACGTGCCATTTATACGGATCTTAAAGTGAATCGACCCATTCCTTTTCATGGAGGAGAGTTTTTTCAGCCTCTAATAGAAATCTTTCTAGTCTTGTGGCTGCTTCAACTCACTCTCAAAACCTTCAGCAAGCATTGGAAGAATATCTCAATCTCCAGGATTATTTTACTGTTGATTTTAATCCTAATACTATCAGGATTTCAGAACTGCAAAGAATGAATGCCTGAATCCAAATGAAGTGTACAGTCATGCACTCAACAGTTTATTAACAGCAAACAGGTATTCCTAAATACAACAGCACTGAAGGGTGGTCAGTTTAAGACCGACTGCAAAGAAGCAGAGCATATACAGAATGTTTTATGGAGCTGGTGTCATATTTGCATGGAGGGGAAGGAGACTTTGAATAGATGACATACAAGAACAATATAGAAGCACACAAGGACAATTCAAAAGCATCGAGAAATCCTCAGGAAAAAAATTAATACACATCACTGGGCTTGAGGAACAGTTAAAAATAAAACAAGCAAAAGTTACAGATTTTAACAGGTTTCAGTGTTTGCTTTTACAGTCTGGGGAAAGAAATTCCATAAAGACAAAGAGTATTTAGGCAGCAAGCAGAGAAGCCTTGGTAGCTATTTACAAAGCTCCTGCAGGATACTGTTGCTACCAAGGCATGTACTCCACATACCAGGTGATTAGCTAGTTGATACCTTTTGTGGATTTGAACTGGTTACAGTGTAATTTCCTTTTGCCTGCTGCACCCTGCATTTGATTAGCTGGCTGGTGACTCATTCTCATATCCTGAGGCTCTGTTTTTGTTCCCATGGATGGAACCTAAATTGAAAAACTCTGGGGGGGGGGGGGGAATCTAAGAAAGGAGGCAAAGATTTATTTAATTCAAAATATAAAAGCTATAACTTTTATTAGGACAAGTCCAACAATACACTCAGAACATTCTGTTGCTCATGAAACTGCTGAATTAGAACTGAACAGCAAGTTTGTTTCCATTCATGTGAGCTTGTATACAAGGCGGTGGTGGCGGTTTTCACTCCAATGGCATTAATCCACTTAGCAAATTCAGGCTCATGATGTTATCAGCAATTGCCACATGCTGTCACTTCCCCCTGCCCACCATGAAAAGTCTAGTGACTGTGGTTGTAAGAGCAAACCGTGACAAAAGCACAGTCAAATCACACCATGCATGTACACACGCAAACTGAGAAGGCGGTCTGAAGGTTTGACAGCTGCTTGACTGGTGGCTTTTGCACAGGTGCACAAAAAGGGGCAGGCAGCTTTGCTCCTTGCCTGCCAGCAGGTGGACCAGGGATGCCGCTCGCTTTGCCAAGCAGGGCATGTGGGGGAGCCAGCATGGCTCACCCTAGCAATGGCGGGATGCTGCAGATTGTTGGCTGCCCAGTTCTTGAAAATGGGTGGCTGTATTGCCAGAGCTTATGTTTAGGCCTGTAAGCTTTGATACCCACGGTCTGCAAATTGCTTTTGTAGCACTCCTTAGCCAAATGAAAGAAATACTCCATATAGCTGACAAAAGAGAGTCTAGCCACAAAATAAATTTGCTAGTCTTTAAGGGCCATAAGACTCTTTGCTTTTTCATTCAGAACAATGGCAGCTCAGTTTTCAGTACTAGACACCACTTTTCACAAAGAGTGGATGAGGCAGTAAACCTGTTTCTGGATTGTTTCGTGTTGGCACCGCTCCAGGCTGCTGGTGGGGGCTCTCACTATTGCCCTCCTTCCATCTGCTTTTGTTAAGTAAAGCTTTGTGACATGGTTTATATCCAGACATAGAAAATTGTGGTTGACCTTAGCAGAGGTTTATCAAAATAAGCCAACTTCACACCATGCCTTATAAATCTGGTTTATTTTAGTAAAGGAAAGGTGGGGAAACCTTTTGAACCCAGTGGCTGTGTTGGATGATGGTTCCAGGGCCACATGCTGGCCCTGAGCTCAGCCAAAAACAGTGTCTCTCCCCCACCCACCCCCACTCTCCCACACACAAATATACACACACCTTACAGGCTTACTCTAATTCACACACTCTTTCACATACACATACTGACACACATTGACAGACTCAGGTTAAAGCCACCCCCGCCCCCAGCAGACTCTAGGGCAGACAAAATGGCTGTTTCTGTGCTGTTTAGCCATGCTAAGACAGGGATCTGCATGGTCAGTGTTGGGCCTTCAAACCTGTGCCCCTCCTCAACACTCCGGATCTCTGCTCCTGCATTGCTAATAGCACTCCCAGTATCTCCCTCTCGTGGCTGGTCAGTTGGGGAGTGGGGAAAATGGGTGGGACTCCCCTGGCTCAGCAGGCTGCATGTAGAGTGGATCATGGGCCACATGGAGCCTGCTCACTGAGATTGCTCACTGGTGAAATAAACCTTTGTTCAGGATTTCAATGTGGTCCTAAATGGTGTGCAGCCGAATGGAAAGGGGGACTGGCAGTGGAATGGAAACAGAGGCTTTCTCCTGGCCATGCCAGAGGGGCAAGAGAGGGAGTTCATGGGCCCAAAGCTCACACCAGCTCATGTTCATAATGTTAAACCATGGCTGCTTATTATGCATGAATGCAGACTTCGACTCTTCCCTGTCATCTAGTTTTCAATATGTAGGGCATTTTTTTGAGTAGAAGAAACTTTCAGACAACTGAGCCTGCTCATGCAGTCTGAACTAGTAGAGCAAATCTGCCAAGCAGGCCTTACTTTTGGAGATGTCAGCCAGCTTATTCTTCTGTCTCCTTTACACTTTGTTTTATTTCTTTGGCTACTTCAGTCCTGCTAAATAGCTGACTTCTGGGAACATTAACTGGTTTTCTGCAAATTCAGGGATTAAACTGAGTAAGTTTGGGAGTTCTTTTCTCAGAAGGAAAGTGACTCAGGTCAGCTTTCCACACTGGGATTGCTGCAGAAAATGCCAGTGTTAATGCCACTGTTTCCAGCTGTAAATACCTATTGTGGAGATGCCGTGTTCATATATATGCATCTTTAATCATCAATGAATGTGTCTGAAAATCAGGCTCTGTCATGTTTTCCTAAAATGTATACACTGTTGTTCACAAGATTTTTGTACACTTACATGTGCTATTCACACGTTACATGTTTGCTGTGTAGCATGAATGTTTCCTGTAGCAATTACAACACATGGAGCTATCCTTAGGGTAGGCATCAAAGCTACTGTCGGCTAATTTGCTGGTTATGCAGAGATCTCAGAAACAAAGAACAAGCGACGTAATCTGTAAAACAGAAAAGAGGTATCAAGTCTCATCGAGGCAGTTAATGATGCTGCAAATGTAAAACTCAGAGTGCACAGTCTGTGTGCTAATAGATGTTAAGTACTGCACTATGGTTGTATAATGTGGGTGGCAGCTTGAAATAGTGGCATATTCTGCTCCTTTCTCCCTCTTCGAGTTTGCGTGCAGCTTAAAGTGCCATATTCTACTCCAGATATCAGATCCATAGCAGGAGAATGTTTACAAGTTGTCTGTACACTGTTTAGGAACTAAAACGATGTTTAGGTTCCTATATGAATTAATGCAATTCTGAGAAAACACACCCTGACTAATAAATATATAGAGTAGACCTTTTCCCTTTCTTGTTTGTAATTATTAACTGTTAATCAAGGAAGTGATCTCCTCTGATCTACCTAGTGCTCAATGTTATGAACAACTTGTGCTTAACTAGTTGTGGTTGTGTTCTTTTCTTTTAGCTCGGCTTGGAAAAGACCTGGCACATGAATACATCCTGTGTGGTGGAGTGTCCAGTGAATTGTCAGCTTTCTGACTGGTCTCCATGGTCTGAATGCTCTCAGGCTTGTGGCCTAGCTGGTTAGTTCAGAAGCTTTCCTTTGGCTGATACTTCAAACCTCTTAGAAAGTATCCTCTGTCTCATATCAGTCACCAAGAAACAGAAGGGACCATTACTTTAATAAAGAGATTGGTAGGTCTGGTTTGTGTTGCTTGCATACAAGCTTCCCCTGATGCCATGCTTGTGCTAAGAGGATCAGGACTGTCAAAATCCATTTCTGTCTTAGATCATAGGAATCAGACGTGGCAAATGCTAATGGGACTACTACTGCAGGAGGCTCTTTGTGTCTGGTATATCAGTGTGAACAGAAGACCAATAAATGTCTCATTTATAGAAGGGATCCACTTTACAATTCCTAAGGAGAGACAACCCCCCAATGGTGTTGTGCTTCTCTCCTGAAAATTCAGCTAACATCCATAGTAATTTTCTGGCTACAGAATCTAGAAAATCCAGGAAGGAATTAATGAACTGAGGTGCTGAAATTGCAATGTTTACTCTCCTATTTGTACTTAAAATGGCAATAGGAAGAACAATTCCACAAATATGTGTAAGGCAAGAAACATGAAGATGCAATGCAGAGGTTACATCTGCAGCCTGATTGTGGAGTGGGTATTTCTTCTGTCCATTTTCTTCCTAATTGAAACAAATCTCCTCCTCCTCACTTAAGCCTTTTCCTGGATTCAGCTAGGTTTATGTTTTGCCAGGATTTGAAACTGTGGTTTGAAGTGGTTGAAGCTTTCCAGTGATGAAAGCTTATAGCCAGTGACATAACCACATTGCAGGCAGTGGTGTGCATGAAAATGTTTATTTGGGGTTGCCTAATTAGAACTTTGATTCCTTATATATGCAAGACTGTAATTCCTTAGTTGCTTTTTGTAGTGGGAGAAGCGTCATACCACCATAACATTGCATATAATGGGTTGGATGCAGATTTACTCATATTTAGAGTAGACCCACTGAAAGTAATGGACCAATAAACCATGAGTATCTTAAATCCTATTGATTTCAGTGGGTCTCCTTTAAATATAGCTAAACCTGGATCAAACCCCTAACTGTAGTCATGGCTCGGAGCATTCAGCTTTCATTGTATATTGGCAGGAAGAAGAGGCATCACTCACTTCTAATACAGCTCTGCTGCCACTCAGTGGAGTTCCAAGGGAAGCTTTCTGCTAATTTCCATAGTATAAAATCCAACTCCCTTAAGGACGGACTTTAACTTAAGCTGCTGTCCTACACACAGGTATCTAGGAAGAAGCCCCGCTAAATTCATCAGGGCTTACTTCTAAGTAGGCATGCATAGGATTGTTCTCTTACAATAGGCATGAGTGACACTGGAAAACTTGTTCCCTTTGAGCTCAACAGACTCCCAACACATTTCCAATCTGATGGCAGAAAGTGGCCAAGTCAGAGGAGCGAGTTGACTTCTGCAAAATTTCTGGAAATATTTTTTTTCATAGTTGGTGCCAAGCACAGTCTATCTCTAGCACTGTTTGTGCCAATGCATCAGATTAAAGTCTTTGTTCTTGTTGTAACATTTAACACGGGAGGTTTGCAAGCATCCTCCTCTCACTGGATATGTACACGCTCCTTCTTGGCCACCTTGGATTTACTTGCAGTTAATTTCAGATATGTGCAAATATGTGCACCTGTTCCACAAGTTGCACAAAGTGCAGAGTGGAAGCCCAAATTTTGAGCAATTTTCCGAGGCTTAAAAAAAGCAAAGCAAAGCAAATTGTGCCCAGTTGTTAAAGTAGAAGTGTGCATGCTGGCTTGACTTGCATTAGATCAAGCTGGTATCAGTGCAGGATGGATGCAATGGAATCCATGGGGCCAAGTCAAGATTCTCCTCCTCCTCTCAATCTTATCCTCACAGTAACATCCCTGTGAGGTAGGTTGGGCTGAGCATCTGTGATGGGCCCAAAGTCACCCAGCGAGCTCCATGGCTGAGTGGGGACTAGAGCCCAGATCTCCTGAGTCCCAGTCCTCTATTATAAAGGTGGGGAATGTTTGGTGCTCCAGCTTTTGCAGGACTGCAACTCCCATTAGCCAAGTGACATAGCCATTGGTGAGGCATGATGGGAATTGTGGTGCAACACACATGTTGGCCATCCATTTTAACCATCATGTACTTCTAGTAATAATACTTGATCTACTTTCATTCCAATTGACCAGGTCATTACAATAAGGCTTTCTTGGAACTCTGAGGAGAGCAGTAACTGGTCAGAAAACTGCTAACGATGACTACATTTGCCAAGCACAGACACACAAATCCTTCTGCCGGCACAGCACCATCTGTCCAAGCAATGAAACTTAATACCTTAGGAAGAAAGAGACAGAATCAGCCCAAAGAATCACAAAGGGCAGGGGAGGGTGGGCCCAACGGGATTGCAGAACTACTTAGAGAGAGCATAAATCTGCTAGCAGGCTTGAGTGGCATATCTGCCATAGCCTGCCTGCAGATTACTGACTGCTAAATCTAATTTTACTTTAAGTTTTCTTTAAGTCTTGGTGAACTATCCTGTCTTATTTGAACATTCTCCATATTTAATACTGGCAGGAGGGACAAAGAGGATAAAAAGAAAGCTCTGTTTCTTTCTACATAGTTATCTCTTGTGACTCCAGTGGGCTTTTAGCTTTTTCCTGAAGAAAGTTGATGCAAATAAGACACCATATTAAATGCTTTTAAGCTCTTAGTTCCTGACCTGGAAGTTAAGACTCTGTTGGGAATGAAGCACCAGGTTTTCCATTTCTCTCTTTATATCAGCATTCTCCAACCTGGTTATCCTACAGATGTGTTGGAGGAAAAGTCTCATCATCCAGTCTACTGGCTGGGACTGAGAGGAATTGTAGTCTATAACATCAGGAAGGTGCCAGGTTGGAGAAGACTGCTTGCTTTTCTAAAGCACAGTAATGCCAAGATTGGTAATCCTCAGGCTCAAATTATACATTTTGACAGGTAATCAAGTATTCTGGTCCCACACCCCTCGCCGCAGAGTTGAGTTCATGTCAAAAGAATTCAGCATCTCTTCCAGCCTGCTGGTCTCTCTGCTTCCTCACCTCTGGCAGCTCCACCACTGTCGCTGTTGGTCCAGTGGCCAAGGCCAGCATTATTATCCTCCTCTCTCACTGCCCAGTGCTGCTATGGCAGCCAGGAGTGATGCCAATGCACATGCTGCTGGGGTGATAGGGGGATAGAGAGGGCCCCCCCCCCCCGAGAAACCTCTGGCTCTGCTCTGGCAGGAGCAATGGCAAGTAAGCAGGCAGGCAGGATGGGCTGCAGTATGGGGGTTGGCCTATAAGAAGGAGGAAGGCAGCTTTTGGGATAGGGCCCCACGTGTAGGCTTAACCCTATCAGGCAGCAGGGCTTGACTTAATTCCATCTGGCTTGACATTTGGGGAATGCCATCCTCCATGAAGGACCAAGACACAGTGCCATCTCCAATTACAACAGTGTAGGGACAGTGTTTTCCTCTTAGGCAGTTGAATGCATGGAATTGCTCATTCCTGCATGCATTTTCTCAGGAGTAGATGCATCTGCATTTATGTGTTGCAGTACAGAAACAAGGATGACTGAACACCACTTCTTCAGCTCTGCTCACTGCAGTTTGCAGAGCTGTATAGCTGAGATGCAGGCAGCTTTCTGCCCATCTCATGAAGACTTGCACCATTTTAATACAGTGAGTGTTTTCCTTCGGGCTAGTCCAGTAGGGTTCAACAATACAACCTTTGTTATTCTCCAGCCACTGTTGGCAATATTCTCATTTGACTAGAACACTCATGTACAAAGTCTCCTTTTTTGTCCACTGCCCAGATCTAGCACTAATCTACATGATTTGTTAAATAAGCAGCGTGCAGGTGAATTCCACTTCCTTTCACTTGTCAAATAATATGTGATGCCTGATTTGGATCAGGGCTACCCTCACATGTCGGGAAGGATTAAATCATTCCACCCAACTGCTTTCCCTCACCTAAATCACCCCCCAGGGACTTAAAAGGGTAGTGGGAGAGAATTTTCATTGGCACAATTTTCCTTTTTTGCCTCCACATGGGGAGTGTGGCGATTTAGAGTGGGAAAGTACCTGTGTGAGAAGGCTAAATCTCTCCTACCCATATGTAGTGGTCCCAACCCAGAGGTCTGTGCACGTGGAGTTAATAAAGGAAGTGAGGCATATCTGCATATTTAACACAGCATGTAGCTAATCCTCCAGTTGATCTAGGCCATAAAGATACATCCGCAGTCTTTTCTTTAACTGCTTTCTGGCCCATGTGAGGTGTAAGAGAATAATTCTTGGTTAAAGCAAGCCGGAAATATTGTGCTGCACATAACAAATACCAATGCTACATTCTTACTTCTCTGTGTGTGTGCATGTGTATGTGCTTTGAAGGAAAGATGATACGAAGGAGAACAGTTATTCAACCTTTCCAAGGTGATGGGAGACCTTGTCCTTCTCAAATGGAGCAATTCAAGCCTTGTCCTGTGAAACCTTGTTATCGATGGCAGTATAGTCACTGGGCCGAATGCAAAGTTGAGGTAAAACAGGAATTTGAAGCCTTTCATCCTTAGGTACTTGCGATATATAACACACACAGCTGTTTATTATCAACTGCTTAATATTGCATCAGCTGGAGATGGGGAACCGGTGTCCATCAGATGTTGCTGGACTTCAGTTCTGATAGTCCCTGACTATGCTGGCTGAGGCTGAGGGGTGGAATCTAGCAACATCTGGTGGGCATCAGTTCTCTACCCCTGTTCTACATCTGGGTTCTTGGACACTTGCAGGAAGATACCTGGGCTCTCCCACAGTGAAGGTGTTCAATATGCAGCAGGACGGCCATCTGTTAGGGATGAGCGGGCAGTTGAACCCAGTGGCTTTACTGACCCCTTCCAGCTCTATTACTCTATGATTCTGTGATTCTTTGACTCCCATGAAAGAGGTTTCTATAGGTAGCCTGAATGTTGCCGAAACCTTCTTGAGTGAAAAACCAAGTGCAGGAAGCAGATATATGCTGGATCAACTGTATTGATAGAAATAGACTTCCCCCATCAATAGCCCCTCCAGCCCCCTGTTAAACAGGATGAGTTGCGTGTGAATGAGGGCCCCTAAAATCATACAGAGAGACCTTCTGCAAACAGAGCCCTTCCTCTTGTGGAAGCTACTTTCCTTTCTTGGAAGGCAGATCTTGGATCCAACCACAGAAATGGAAGCCAGACATTTTTGTTGCACTCCCTCAGTCTATTCAAACATTTACTGAGGGGGAAATGGCAAAGTCCTGTGAGGACTGTCCCATCTCAGAATGCATATACAGGACAGCATGTTTAAATAGGCCATAGCAAAATCTGTCTGGCACTCCACAGCTACCAAGTCAGAGTGGCATAGTCAGTCTTATCTCTGCCATACTGGGGCACATTCAAGCTTACAGTCACCCCATCTTGATGGAGTTTCAGCAGAAGGCAGTATGTAAATGCAAATGATCAATGACAGAGAGTGCATGCCCTTGGAAGTGCTAATCTCATCTTTGGTGCTCCCTCAAGTTTATCAGCAACCTATGAACCCTCAGCCCAGTCAGCCTATAAAAATAGAAAGGAGCAAAGTATAGGCTTGTACTTACTTTCTGCTTCCATTGAGATGTGTGCCTAGCACAGGGCAGGTTTGCACAACATGCCAAGCCACCTGATGAACAGGCTACACTGCACCTGACAGGTAGGTGTTCAGGCTCACTGTGGCTTGTTTTCTCCCTCCTTTGTCCTCCTCCAACCAGTCTAGCAGTGTCCTTCATGGCAAAACCCATCTTGCCTTTCCCTCCATGCTCCAATTGCTACATCTTCTCTCTCTTTCTCTTTGTCAACCCATATAGCCATATTTTAAGGTCCTGAATATTATACAGATAAGTTCATGAACAAGGGCTTTCTTATGGCTGCATGATACATTTAGTCTTGCCTGGTCAAGGACCTACAGTGACCACCACAGCAATAGCTGCTCTGAAAAGGAACTATTGGAAGGATGGGGAACCAATGTCTCCCCTTTCTGGAGCACCTGGGGAGACAGGGAACTAATTAAAAGGTGGAGGGCATTCAGAAATGTCCTTTCAGCACTGACATTTTACATTTTTGAGTCTGATTTTTTTTAAAGGTGTAAATGAAAAGCGGTAATAATTGGAGCACAGCAGGAATGACAAGATGTGTTCTGCCTTGAAGGATGGTGGGATACCCGGGCCCAGTCCTCTAAGTGTATTGTGATTGCAAGTCATCTTTGCAAAGATCTTCCACGTCTGCTATCTATGAAAACATGTCATTAGTACAGGCAGACAATATGAACAACCTAATTTCCACCATATCAGCAGGCTACAGGAATTTCTTGGTTTTGGACAACAGTATAGGCTTTTTATTGATTGCTGTGTGTTATGGGGCATGACAAGCCACTAGCTACCACAGATCAGACCCCCAGTAAATGTACTCTGGTAGATTAATGGGATTTATCCATGTCCCGTCCCATCACTAGGGGAGTCCTATTAAGTATCTCTGGAATTATGTCTACCTCTTCCCACCTCTGACAGATCATTTTACCACTTCTCCTTTTCCAGGATGCTCAGTGCGGAGAGGGGACAAAAGTCAGAAACATTTCTTGTGTTGTTTATGATGGATCCAGTGAGGACATTGGCAAAATAGTAGATGAAGATTTTTGTGGGGAAATAGAGCCTGTTGTTGACGGCCACAAGAAAATTGTGCTTGAGGAAACCTGCACTCTGCCTTGCCCAGGTAACCAGTTCTTTGGCATGAAGGATATATTATTCTTGCACTCATTATTGAATATATATACTGAATCTCAAGAAACTGGAACAGTGTACATTTAATAAAGGTTAATGTATCTATTGTTATGCATACATAATTAGTTTACATACCTATGTATTACACACATATAAGGAAATATAGCATTGTCAATAGAAATATTTATGTGTAAGCTTCACCTAAGTAAAGGCAGGCCAAATATCTCTATATTTATTCTTGCATAGGTGCTTCTAAATACCCATTCCAAGGCTGAATCAATATTTCTTCAATCCATTGCATTCATGAAGGTGGCCATTTATCCTTTGAGTGTTTTAATATCAGTTGTTTAGCTGTCCAAAAATCATGGGAAATCAATTTAAATTGCCCTTGCTTTAGATGCCAAGAAGCAGGTAGATAGTTTATTTATTTATTTATTATTTATTTATTAAAACATTTTTATGCCGCCCCATTCGCCGAAGCCTCGGGGCGGCTTACAACATAGATAAAACAAGTTAAAATCCATATAAAATAATCTTAATTAAAACTCACATTATAAAATAAGCCGCCCTGGCCAGATAAAATTCAATTGTATTTAGCATTTAAAATGTTGCTTAAATAAAAAGGTCTTAGCCTGGCGCCGAAAAACAAATAACGACGGCGCCAGGCGGACCTCTCTGGGGAGCGCATTCCATAACTTAGGCGCCACCGCTGAGAAAGCCCTTCTCCGAGTAGCCACCCTCCTAATTTCTCTCACGGAGGGCTCCCGGAGAAGGGCCTCTCCCGCCGATCTCAGGGGGCGACTGGGCAAATATGGATGTAAGCGCTCCTTCAGGTAACCAGGACCCAAGCCGTTTAGGGCTTTATAGGTCATTACCAACACCTTGAATTGGGCCCGGACTTCAATGGGGAGCCAGTGAAGCTGACGGAGAACTGGTGTCATGTGAACATAACGTCCAGTCCCCGTCAGCAGCCTGGCAGCTCTATTCTGAACCAATTGAAGTATCCGGACCGTCTTCAAGGGTAGCCCCACGTAGAGCGCGTTACAGAAGTCAAGACGGGAAGTTAGTGAACTAGAATATGGGAAATCCAAGAATATTAAAGGGTTTTCCAATACAAAATTTATCTGTATTATAACCTCTTCTGAAAGGGAGGCAACTGTTGGGCACTGCCAAAGTCTGTGGGTGAAGGAAGCACCGGCTGTATCATATCTCAAACATTTGTTCTCACTTTTTTGAAAAGACATTGTGAAATCAAATGTCCAGTCCTTCTGCTTGAAACAGAAGCTGAATAATGTATTGAAGCAACACCTAGTGGCTTTCCCCCATTGCCTTGCTGTGTGCTATCCTTTCAAACCCTACTAAGAATGACATCTCTCATTGTAGCTAATGTTTTCCTGCTAGTAAATTAGGAATCTCAGGTAGGGATGCCTGACAAACCCAAAGAAGAGGAGGGAGGCAAATGCAGGACTGGGTCCCTATAGGTGAGAAGATCTCCAAAGGATGCAAGAAAATCCCTTGAAGGGGGGTCTCTTACTTCATCCCAAATCTGAAATTCAGCAGGGGCCAAAGAGCTGCATTTGGACACCAACAAGCACAATTGTCTGAGAATATCAGGCAGGTGTAAGTGCCAAGAATTGGGTTGAAGGAGCTGACAGGAAGACTCCCTTCCCTTAGGTCTGCCTTCTCTTCCCTGATACCTTCCAGATGGTTTGGACTACAACTCCCAGCATTCTCAGCTAGGGCTGATGGGAGTTGAAGTCCAAACAAGTAGGCTATCATGTTGAAGAAGGCTGTCTTAGGTCTTCATGATCAGTGCAGCAGAAGCCTCAAAGATGTCGCAAAATTCAAGTTTAGCTATGCATTGACATCACTGGGGCCAAGGGAAACCCATTAGAATGCAGTTGATGCTTCCTACGCTAATCACATGGGCAATCCTAAGCATACAGGACTCATTCTAAGAATGGAGTAGTTTCTCAGGCCGGTTGCCACAATTCCTGAAACACTCATGAAAGGCTTGAAGGATAAACTCTGATTAAGGTGGTCACAAAACTGCCTCCTTCATTTCCACATTTAAATTTTAGTGTAAATGGTTTTTAATAGCATGCTTTGCACTGTATTTTAAGGTTTTAATCTTTTGTAAACTACCCAGACAGCTTTGAGTATTGAGCAGGATATGGTGATGATGATGTTGTAGAATACCAAATCAGATAAAGATGAATATTATCTTTAAAAATACACATTTTTCGCTACGCAAAAGTTTGCAGAGCAAATGACCTTTGCTTGAATAGTCCCACAGTACACTAAAGAGAAGATTAACTGCCCTGTGGGGATGGGTTAATGGTGCACTCTGGTTAATGTTTCCAAAGATCACTACATACCCACTTATTATATATACATCATTTATTCAATAATTCATTTCTTGACACGATTTCTTAATGTTAGCAAGTAAAACCCCTTCATTAAGGCATCCAGTTAACAGGGAGCTGATTTTATTTGTTGTCAACATAATGTAAAGCTACATGAATTTTTAATCATTCTTTTGCTGGAATAATTAAAGCTCTAGGTTCATTTGAAAGCTTTTTTTTTTTTTTAGCTTTATGACCTCCAAATACATTACACTATTGGCAAAATGGACTTTTCAGCAAATCCATACTCTTGTAGCATGCTGTGTTTTGTGCAGGTTTCACAACATAAGGAAATGGGGTGTGTGTGTGTGTGTGTGTGTGTGTGTGTGTGTGTGTGTGTGTTTAAATATAAACATAAGGGTTCTTTGGCAGAGAAGATGCATAATATTAGTCAGCAATATTTTATGACTTCTGGTTCATGAAAGCTAAAATACACTAATGAGCAGACTATCGGATACACTAATGAGCAGACTATCAGTTCTAAGAAAGCAGCACCAAGTCTTTCTCAACCAGCTCGTAAAGGTTTAGAAGAGTTCAATAAAACTAAGCTAGAGCAAAATATTAACATCTTATGTCAGTGCTACAAGCAAACAATTTTGTAAATATATTAGGGTCTACGTTTATGGTGGAGAAACAATCCAATAAATCCCTTTAATTACTAGACTCTTCTGTAATTTTTGTTTTTATGATTGGCAGGTGATTGTTACTTAAAGGAGTGGTCAGAATGGAGCCTTTGCCAGCTGACCTGTTTAAATGGTGAAGACCTTGGCTTTGGAGGAATACAGGTTCGATCACGTGCAGTGGTAATTCAGGATCTAGAGAACCAGCATCCCTGTCCGGAGCAGGTACTGGACACCAGGCAATGTAATGGTGAGTGCCAAAATTCAGCGATTAGCAGCTGCTAGTTTTAAGGTATGTGCATTCCATTAACTCACAGTGAAGCGCAAGATACAGAACAGGGAGGCAATATATCTGTACATGTATAGGCATGTGGGTTCTGTTAGTGCTGTGCATCATAGAGAGGGAGGGAGCAAAGTTCAGTAGTAGCATCAAAAGGTCTGCAGTTCAGTCCCATCATCTCAGAGCTGGGAAATGCCTAAGTCTTTGGAAGGCTGCTGCCATTCTGAATAGGCAGTACTGTATAAGATGGATTTATCCATGCCTTCCTAAGATGTAGGCTGAATGACTGCAATGTGTTCTATTTTACAATGTGTTGCATTTGGCCTGCCTTTAATGACGATGCAGAAGCAGCAGTGCAGAATACAGCTCCAAGACCACTAACGGAGTCTGAGACTGAAACTACTTAGTCCATTTCTGGGTCCAATTTAGAGTTCTGGTGATGATATTTATGGATCCTGAAGGCTTAGAATCAGGGTGCCTGTTGCATTGCTCCTCTCTGTAAGAATTGACTCCTTGGAGTGGGTCAGCTTCAGAAGCCTTCCTTTGGGCACTTCTGTCTTCTTAGGGCAGGTGGCAACTAGGAAAAAGACCTTTTTGGTGGTGGCACCCAAATTCTGCATTACTTGCCTGAGGATGGCCTCATCTGGCAACTACTTTGATGTCTTTTCAGCACCAGGAAAAAAAGATTTTAAATATTTTAAATATCTGCGGTCATTTGTAGCATATTGCTTTATCTGCCATGGGTTTTTAACTTGTTTTATTATACACATATTTTCCAGGTTTAAAGTAAGCTGACCTGGAAAAATTCTTCTTGAAGGGTAGGGTAGAAATTTCCAAAATTAATGAATGTATCAGTAGATAAAGTATGTCAGGACACATTTGTGTGACTGTAATATGTATGCATTCATTCCTGGATCAAGAAATGGCACGGGAAAAATGGCTTTACCGTGCTTAAGAATTTTTCCCCGCATTACAGTTCATGCAGAGAATTTCTTTAATGACACTAGAAAGAAAATGGAGCAGGCAGTGAAAAGAACGGCTGTGGTTTGGCAGTGGCCATAAATATACTTTCTTCCATGCACATGGAGTACTTCTGACAACTTTACTGTCTTCCATTCAGATGGCCAGTGTTACGAGTACAATTGGATGGCCAGCCCATGGAAAGGATCTTCTCGGACTGTCTGGTGCCAAAGGTCAGATGGTTTGAATGTGACAGGTAATTGTTTTTCTTTCATGTTCTTGAACAGATTCAGTTCCATTCTGGAAAAGAAAAGAAATCTTTGATTGTTATGGACTAGCTCAAAGATTGAAGGCAGAATGAACATGGAAGTCTTGAAAGCTACAGAGCTGAATCTGTGAAAGTAATAGTGTACATGTAGAAAAAATTGCCATGTGAAAAACCCAGAAAAATAGAAGCTGTTTCTCATACACACACACACCCCTACCTATACAAGGGGTCAGAAACCCAGGCCTAGGGCCAAATTGGCCTGCGGGAATCCCAGTATGGCCCTTGCCCCCTAGTTCCACCTGCACATTGTTCAGTGCTTTCCTGGCTTTTGTGCAGTTTTTCCTCATTCCACATGGTTGAAACACTTCCCCTGAAGCCTAGTTACCAGCAGTAAGAGAATTAAACTGAAATATGCTTGACATTTTCGACCTCTCTGCTTTTGTCTTTTGCCTTCCGCTGCACCTGCCGCTGGAATGCAGTCTCAAAAGCATCTCCAAAGTGAAAATTGGCTCTTGGGATGAAAGAATTTCTGGACTCCAATCTGCCTGTTTTCACCATAGTTGTGAATATTTCTGTTATTACAGAGCAGTGGGCATTCCATTGTCCCAGCCTGCATGATCACCGCAGCTCATAGTGATTTATTTAAGTCATGATAGGATGAGGTGTGCAGGCCAGGGGCCATTTTGAATCACTGTGGTTAAATACAGTGCCATGGCTTATTGTGTCATCTGAATGTAGCAAGGGTGAGTTGTCGGCATGGCTAACAAACCAGTCACACTTCCAGAGGAATCCACAACTCTACCACACCAACAATCCACCCTCACTGGATTTGGATGACACAACTAGCCATGGTGATGGAGAACTGCAGCTTGAATATTCAGAATGACTGTAAGCATGGACCACAACCTACTCTGGTGGGGCTGTGGGGATTGTGTGAATTGACCCTGCTCACAATGTTTAGCTTTGGATGTTAATTAATGATAGTTCTCTTGACTGCATACAGCTTTCTGCCTTTTAATAGAGTTCAGCGTAAGTGTAGCTTTCCAAAAGTCATTTGTGTTGCAAACATATGATTAGTACCAGTGACAGAATATGAAATTAGCAAATTCATACAATTCTTTAATCTACAGTTTATTGCTATGATAGGCAGTGAGAGGTTACTTAGGAGTAATTAAAGGGCTGTTATATTGGTGGAATTTTAATACTTGTATGTCTTGGTATGATAATAAGGGCTTCAGAGCTCTCTTATGAAATGTTAATGAGCACTTTTAAAGCTTGTGTTTATTAGCTGAAAAAGCTAGTTACGATGCAGGGCAATCAGAACAAAACAGCTCCTTTTGCTTTGGTTACCAAGTGGAGTAGCAGAATTACTGCACATCCGCAAGGCAACTTTCTCTTTCTCAGTTCTGCTTACCTAAGTCACAGTCCAACCAAGCACAAACATCTAATGTCTTACCTATTTCAGTAGAAGAGTACATGCGTTGCTGTTCTTGCCAAAATCAATGGGATGTAGCATGCTTGCTCTTGGCTCTCTTTCAGCCTAAGAGCTGTACAACCTCCTTCTTAATAGCTGGCCCCAAAGTGATTTACAACATAAAGAAAAGTAATGGGTTGGATCCATGATTTGAACAGACCTACTGAAATCAGCAGGACTTGTGTTAGTCATGACTTACTTGACCCATTGATTCCTTTAGGTCAGCTGGTTTTTGCTGAGCACCACTGCTGCTGCAACATCCAGTGCTGTATCCCATACTGAGCCTTAGATATGCATAGGATTTCACTGTAAATTGAATTTCAAACACATGTTTACATATAATTTGACTCTGTTCATCTGTTTATCAGGGCAATGGGATCCCTTTTGAGAAAGTGTTTGCGTTTTGTCAATAAGTTTAAATACTACAGGATCTAAATTTATACAATTTATGCTTTGACCAGTTAAGTAAAAACTGTCTTCCATTTCTTAACATTGTGCATCATTTCTTTTAAGGATTCATCAAGATTATTTAGATTATTTGGAGTATCACAGTACCAACCATATATGCATTTTATGGACTGATGGGCAGGGTAGTCCTACTTCTTCTGGCGGACAGCTCTGATGGTTTAAAACCAGTGGGAGAGAATCCATCTATGTCAGGTCCAGGACTGACATTGCCAATCACCAGGTTCTGGGCAGTTCTGAAGGCTAGGAGAGCTGTGGATCCACCTTTGCCTACTCTAACTCTGCAGGGAAGGGAGTGAAAAATCAGATCTCTTTCAAAAGTGGCCCTCTCTGGGATTTCAGTCTAAGATGCTAAGAGCTCTTTTGATATAAGCAGATGTTTTTCACTAGTTTCAAGCTGTCGTGGGGCGATTTGTCTTGCTGCTGAAATAACCGCAGTGATGCTGCTATGCCTGCCTACCTTGTAACAGTGCCAATGCCAGGGCACAGTCTGGCACTAACATGGCTGAGCTACATTTATACTGGTATTGATGTAGACCAGTGGTGAGGAACCTGCATCCCTCCAGAAGTGGCAGGGTGCAATTCCCCCTGGCCCCAGCAAGCACAGCCAATGGTGGAGCATCAAAGGATTTGCCACTCCACATTTGGAAGGTGTCCCATCCATGTTTTAGACCGCAGTTGATGCCTTTTTGTTTTTTGTTCTCCTGTGTTCTGTTGCTCCGAACATCCTTTTCATATCTAAGTGTTATCTTTGCAGATACCTTAATTCAAAATGAAACGGGTGATGAAGCAGCTCTTCCCTTCTGCAGCCCCACAGATGGCTGACATTTTGTAACAAGGGTGCTTACAGGCATGTGCAACTTATGCCAGATATACTGATGTTTTGTCATTCCACGTCTCAGTGAGCGAGTCTGATCCTGGGTCACAGGCAGTCCTTCAGTTAACCTACAGCTAACAGCATCTAATAGCATCTACCGTTACCAGGATTTCATCATTGTTTCTCACCAGTGGATGGGCAGAATTATTCCAACGTGCCTGGCAGGCAACTGAGATTTGCAACCGAGAACCCCTATAATGGACATTGTTAGGTTTAGCTGCTGAAAATAACGACTCTTTTTCAGAGATACCACTGGAGAACTGGGTATTTCTGAAAGATGGCAAAAAGGAACCTGGCTCAAAATGATGATGAAAACCTATGTGTGCTTACTGGATTAAAACAATAACAGCGCAGCACTCATAATATGTAACCACTGAGAATTAAGAGCAAAACCACAGAAGTCACAGGTGGAGAACCAAATTGTCACGAATATCTTGCATTCCTCCTGCCCTGCCCACATGCACACCCCTTTCCTGGAACAGCTTATGTAACAGCCTTGTGCAGTAGGAAGGGATAACGGATAAGGGCTCAGACTTGGGCATGGGCAGCTGGGCTGATGGCATTGGCTTTCCCCACTCACTCCTGCTTGTGGCAGTCCCTCCACCCCACTGAAGAGCTGCACAGAGGCTGGGGGACTCTGTTAAAGGAGGATCAGCTTTGGCATGGGAGGAAGGTGGGTTTTCCCTTGCCCCCCAGATTGGGCAGAAGCACATTCGGTGAAGAGACCTCCATTTACACAACTCTTTCTCCTCAGCATTCCCATCCCACAGCCTTCCTCATTCAGTACAGGGCCCAATCCTCTGTGTAACTTTTTTGGGGGTTTGGAGGGACTGCTGTGAGGGTGGCTGTCCCTTCCAGGTGGGGGGGGCTTTCCTTCTGCCAGGCCTACATCTATACACAATCAAATGCTTCCCCCTTGCACCCTCTCAACAATGTTTAAGAGGGGCTTGAAGGTGGAGGCTGGGGCATTGCAGTATCAAGGCCAAGCTACAGAGTGAGGGGAAGAAAATGGTGAGTCTCAAAAACACCATTTGATGACTTACCTGGGCATGTAAATTTGCCAGCTGCTTTGAGGATCAAGATGAAAGATATGCATCACATGGTGGGAAAAGTTTCTTACTCTGATCGTATGCCAGTAAAATACAGTTCCCCCTCCAACAGAGCACCAGCAGACTTTGGTGTGCTCAGCTGACTACTGGGTTGAGCCGTGCAAAGTAAATTGGCCTCAACCTACCAATGCTCTTAGTGAGACCAAGAATGCTGCAGAGAAATCCATCAGTTGCTTGTATTCTTCCTCGGAGAAAGCATGGAGGAGTTGGACAGCATCCTCCTTCACCTGAGATGTCATTTTCCGGGCTGCAACAGAGCGCTTTGCTGGTAGCGAGGCACTGCTGTGTCAAAATACCATTTGTTTTGTTCCACAGGAGGCTGCTTAGTGATGCGCCAACCAGACGCTGACAGGTCATGTAAGCCACCATGCAGCCCACCCTATTCTTACTGTAGTGAGGTATGTGCTACTTGCTGTGACAGATCCAACATGTGGCTACAGTGACATCTGGGTACATGATATTGCCCCAGTAGGGTAGGCAGGGGTCTTACAGTTTAGTTGTGAGTAACGTTGCAATAGGAAATCACAACACTTTGCTGAGAGACTGCTCAAAATACACTTCAGCCCATTGCTCTGTAGCATAAAGCACTTTTGGAGCCCCATTACTCCTTATTTGATTTACTGCAAACTTTAGTCATCTTTGCCGAGGCAAGACAGGAAGAGTCAAGCAGGTGGGGCACAGTGTTACGGAAGTAGCTTTGCATGCATTGGCCAGCTAAGCCCTCTGTGGAGGTGACAGTTCTGCTCAGGGAGATGTCATGGACAGCCAGTGGCAGTGTCTCCTGCCCCTCTAATTTTAAGCCTGCTCTACCAATAGCCAGAGTGAGGTAGCTGCTTCAGGTGGGAGAAAGAAGCTGTGGTGGGGAGGCGTTGGGGACCAGAGCTGTGTGTGCCAGGTGGCGTGTTGCCAGTATGAAAGCAACACTTGAGTGCAGTGCCCATGGCATGCCTACCACCGTAGGCAGAAAAAGGTCTCAGGCCGCTTCTGCCTCTTCATCTGTGTCAACAAACTCCCTGGATCAGTGCTCTCCGGGCACTTGCTTGGTTGCTCCACCTGAATGGCAGCCAACCCGTCTGGGACCACCTCAGAAAAGGGAGAACCCAAGCCTGCCCATCTAACTACAGTCTCGGGCTCTCTTCTCCCCACTGCAGCAGGGAAGCTCCCACTTTCCTGCTCTGGCTGGTGGCTACGTGGGTGGGAAAGAGACCCTCAAATGTTCTGCTCCTGGCACTCACTTGCAGCTACAAAAGACATGCATAACCTGGCATCTCAACTGTTGCCAGGCAGAATGTGCTGTGCTTCACCAATGCTTGCTCTAGGTTGGGAGGCTGTGGGCTTGGGCAGACACCTTAAATGGCCCCTCTCCACCTTCTCACAGTCCTTATCAGCAGCTGCTGGTGCCCTTCTCTCTCTCTCTCTCTCTCTCTCTCTCTCCCCCCCCCCCCCCATGCTCCCACTTGCTTGCTGGACAGGCCAAAAGCCAGTGAGCAAACTGGCAAGGGCATCTCATGCTCCTCCTGCCCACATCTGTTGTCTGGGCCAGAGTGAGAGGTGGGTAAGCAAGCAAGTTGCAATGAGGGAGCAAGTCCAGGGAGCTCTTGCCTTAGGCTCCTTAGCCCTGCTCTTCAGGTAGCCCTAACCATCTTTCCCACCTCATTGATTTTGCCATGGCAGTAAGGGGCCCTTTTGAATTGTTCTGTGATGGTTGTGTAATGCTAAAAGATGCACAGTTTTCCTACAGTGGATAAGACACTTGTTCCTCTGCAGACGCGAACATGTGTTTGTGAAGAAGGGTACACAGAAGTGATGGCCTCTGATGGCACACTTGAGCAATGCACGCTCATCCCAGTGGTAGCCATCCCGACAGTGGAGGACAAAAAGGGAGATGTGAAAACCAGTCGAGCTGTGAACCCCACACAGCCATCTAGTACCCCTTCGGGACGAGGAAGAACTTGGTTCCTTCAGCCTTTTGGACCAGGTGAAGTCTCACACGGATAGTCAGCACTGCTAAGTATTAGCACTGAACACAGTGGATTTTCTGGCATCTTTGCTGTGTTGCAAAATGTTCATAGGAGGCAGAGAAGGCATGGAGAGCAAACAGTTCACCCCCTTCATGAACAGCATATAAAAGCGTCGAGCTTTTCCTAACATGTGTAACATTTACCTACACTTCTTAAATTCAGGATGTTTAAAGTTCTCCCAACAAAGCTTAAATTATACAGAGTAAGCACATGCGTGGGAATATGGGTTGTCACGATGTCAGTCCAAGTTAAGACCCATCCATTTTGATGTGTCTGCTATAAACAGGACTGATATTGGACACACTCTGATGTCAGGCACAATGTAAGCGTTTGTCTAACTCAGTGTCTTCTGTTTTGCTTGTCAGTGAAGGATCTAACCTTGTGCACACCTACATCAAAGTAAGTGCCACTGACCATAGTGGGCCTTCCTTCTGAGTAAGAGTGCACGGCAAATCGCGTTTGTGACTGCTAGCAGCTAATGGATAAATTCACTGACTGGGAAAGGAATATAGTTTGATCAATGTACTTTTTGAAAAAGAAGTCCGAGTTCTTCCAGCCACAGGCACAGTTGCTATATTTAGCCTGAACCAAACATGAATTCATCCTGAATTGAAGCTTGAGATCACAGAATGAACAGAACAGGTTTTGTTCTTTACTCTCTGGCCTCTTTTGTACTGACAAATTTCAAGCAAAAATGTAATCCCATTTGTCGGCTGAGCAATTTTGCACACCGTCCAGGATACATTGTCAGGCAATATCACTAACTGGGCTTGTGCAATATTTCTGTGACAGCATCCTTTTGAAAAAGACAGATAGATGATCAATACTAACTTGGCGATTAATTACTAACATCCATTCCTTTTAGATGGGAAGCTGAAGACCTGGGTTTATGGTGTAGCTGCTGGTGCATTTGTTTTGCTCATCTTTATTATTTCTATGATCTACCTAGCCTGGTGAGTAGTTTAGGTGTTTGTTAGCTTTTAGAGTTCTTTTATAAAAGGATGAGGGCAAGATTAATCCATGCTTCTCGGTATGTTGTTGTTATGTGCCATCAGGTCATCCCTGACTAATGGCAACCTGCTGAATGAAAGTCCTTCGAAACATCCTATCCATGGCTGCCCTAACCAGTTCTTCTACACTGAAGGCTGTGGCTTCCCTTATTGAGTTATTTGTACATGCTTTTCCTTTGTGGTGGCAGGGTTGCCAGTGTTGGCCTGGAATCCAGGAGACCCAGATTTGTGTCCCTGCTTGGACATGTAGCTCACAGAGAATCTCTGGGCCAGTCACTGGATTGCCATGAGGATAACATTAAGAAAAGGATCATGTGCACAACCTTGGGCTCCTTGCAGGAAAGTCATGGTATAAATGTACTGAATAAATATTTAAAATCAATTCATTTTCCCCACCCATCTTAGTGGCTGAGGGGCTAAATCCACTTATGCATCTGGTCCTCAGTCCAGCACTTGGAGTTTCCCCTTCCCTTGGGCCCAGCCATGCATTGTTTGGGGGTTTCCAGCTGATGTGCAGTCATTCTCCACTTTAAAAGGTTGAAATGCCTCTCCTTAGTTTTAGTTACTGGCAGAAAGAACTTCAAACTACAATACTCTGGCATTTGCCACCATTGCAATGACTGTATGTAACTGAGAGCTTCTCTAGAATGGAATTTGGCCTGGAGGTGAAAAAGGCCAACACCACTGGAGTTACTTCAGAATATATGCCAGTGGCATCCGTACTCGCTAGTACTGCCTTGGTGCTAAGCAAAGCTGTATAACTTGTCTGTGGATTCAGATCTGCCAGTAATAGGGTTGCTTCTCCACCCCACCTCCCAAAAAGCCCAGCGTAATTGAGTGGAACCTTTGCAGCTGTGTGTGAGTTTTCTGTTGCACTTGTGTGAGCCTGTATGTTGGATGTTAAACAAATTGACAAATGCTGATTTGAATCAGAAAATCCATGCATCATCCAGCATGGACATGCAGAAGTCCATGCATCATCCAGCAACTAAGTAATCCACGCTTCCATTTCATTCAAGATGAAATTAAAAGCAAATTTCCTATTTCCCTCACCCTGAAATCTGTATGTTTAAACTTTTTCTTTTTTAATAATTGCAGCAAAAAGCCAAAGAAGCCTCAGAGAAGACAGAACAACCGTCTGAAACCTTTAACGCTGGCTTATGATGGAGATGCGGACATGTAAAATAATGACTTCCCATTGACTTTAGTCTCTTGAAATTGTAGTGTTCAGAAACAGCATGTACATTGTGTACATTACAGAGCAGATGTTACACCACAAGGAAAAAAAAGACTTCACAACGGCCATGGATGTTCCCAGAAACATGCTTTGTTTTTGACCATCAGTCAGTACAGCAAAGTCTGGTGGCAAGTTTCTGTTGTAAGCACAGCAGCTAGAAATCTTAATGTGGCCTTCCTTTGAAACATATTAACTGTAAAGCCACGCGTGTCTCCAGCTCACTGTACGTGACCTAATATCTGAGATTTAATGCCAGAACTCTCTGCTGCATTAACCAAGTATACTCAGTAAGCATGAAGAGATCATACCAAGTTGTCTATAATGTTTTATGTACAACCTATATACTCGGTTGCACCATATGTATGAATCTGTCAAATGATATACGGGCTGAAGAGCATTTTAATGCTTGGCAACTTGTTAACTTTAACTGAGAATAACAACCCACTGAGCCAGATTAGCATTTTGGCAGTGGAAGGTGGTTTTTCTTAACCTGCCTTCCTAGTGTGAAGGCTTGCAAAAGACTCTGTTCTTTTTACCAGTTCCAGGTACTAAAGCGCCATACATACCCTTATCAAGGAGAGAAGCATTTTCAGGTTCAATATTTTATAGAGGTTGTCTGGAAATTAATATCCATGTGTACTAACTTTTTACTTTCTCTAACTCAAACTGTTGCCTGCAACTTTTTTGCTACACGTAAGGCAATTTTTTGCACTATATTAGTGCAGCATGATATGCACTTATTAACTCGTATTGCCATAGAAACTGCCTCTTTTAAAAAAAAGGATAATGGTGAAGATGCTTCATCTTTGCAAATAGCGTCAGATAGACATTTACCAGTAAGTTCTTGAGTCCTGATGAGAGTAGAGATCAGTTTCTGGACTGTGACTGGATCAGACCAGCTAATACAAGTACTGTTTATACCACTTCTTGTAACAGCAGCTGTTTTGTAGTTGAAACCATGGCAGTAATCTAAGTGTCTACTTTCTGATTCTGTCCAACTTCTACAGATAATAGATTTTCAAGTTGATTTCTAATTACTTTGAAGGTTGTTTATGACTAGATTTTTATATTGCTAACTTTGTAAAAAAAAAGAAAGAAAGAAAAAGAAAGTGGCTGCCCCTGTACTCTTGGGGAAAATTCTTGTTAGTTTTCCAATATGTTCAGCAGAAAGAATGCAGATCGTTTGTTTTTCTCCTGCTAATGGAAAGTGTTTCATTGCTGAAGAATTGTTAGCCCTCTTCTCTTTCCGGTGGGAATAACCTGGTGTGTTCCAAATTTTATTTTTCACCCAGACTCTTCAGACTAATGGTCAACATAGAATGCAAGAGCCCTGATACAGCTATTGCATCCAAGTGTGGGAACTCTAATGCGCTCTTAGTGTGTCCACAACTGGAATAGATTCACCCCTTGTTTTCATTGAACATACTTTGAATGACGCACCACCATTCTGTGACATGCCATGAGTGTGTGAAGATCTCCGACCCATGTGCAACTTTAAAAATAATACTTTCAGCAGTTTAATGTTTGCAAACTTCTTCCATTCCAGTGAGTTTTCAGTATATTACTTACAAGATGAAGCTTATTTCCCTGCTGATAATCCAAAAAAGGTCATTCTTTCAGTATAGCATACATGTCCAGATAGACCCCACCTAGATATAGTGCTAAAAAGATTAATAAGCAATATTAATAATCAACTATATTAAGCATCTGTTACACAGTAGCATCTTTAGCTCTGGTTTCTCAGGTCATGATCAATAAGCTAAACCATTCCTAACTGGCCCAACATGCCTAGACCATCATGTAGTGACCTATTTAAAGCCAACACTCTGCTTGTCTCAGGCTGTCCCATAGCTGAGTAGATGGAAGAAACATGCCTTTCAGCGCAACCCTGAAAAGCTGGGAGGGAAGTGACAAAGTGTGAGAGTGCCTGCCAGTTCCAAAACCCTGCTGGCTCACACTAGCCAGGGCATGAATATGCAAGTGTGGAGAGTACTTTTCCATGTCTCATGTGGTTCTTTGTTTTGCACAATTATCCCCAATAGATTCCAATGCAGGAAAAATTAGTTATATCAATTTCAGACTGTTGTAGAACATGTGTGTGTTTGTGTGGGTAGGTGGAAGGGAGGAAGGGAGAATCCTGGGTTCTCTCCACTGAGTGATGGGACTTTGGATCCTGCAGGTCTTAAGCCACCACCTCCTTACCTCTGCCATTTTCTGTTTTGGGGACTTCTGTGGGTATGAACACCATTGGTAAGGCTGCTGGAGAAGTCCACAACAGATTCAAATGATTCCAATTTCCAAACCATGGATTCTGCAACAGATTGGCTTTTTCCAGCTTGCATGGGTTCTGCACACTTGCAGGCCAATTTTTATTTTGTACATACTTATAATGTCCCATAATTTTGTGCAAATTTATTTGCCAGAAAATTTAAAAAAACCTGAAAATGTGCATTCCCCTCCCCAGATGATATCTGAGAACATGCTCATTTGGGGTGGGTTTGTGCATTTCCAGAAATGTGGATCTGTGCAAATGCATTTGCACAAAATTTGATTCTGAGAATGAGCAGAACAGGCAGGTTGATCTAGCAGGGAATACGGTTAGGGTGGAAAGGACTGAATCAAGTCCATGCACCTCAGCAATAGAGTTAAGCTCATGGAGCTTTCCATGGTTAGGGTTAGGGTCCATGTGGTACTTTGAGAGTACCCACTATTGGTAGAAGGTCGCTTCTATGCCACCCTAAGCCCACATGGATCTGGGGATTGAGTATGTTGTTCTTCTCAAAATGGATCTTCCAATTTTTAACACAAGCTAAACTGAATTCACTTACTGGTTGGGAGTCCCAGCACATGCCCTGCTGTAAAATCTCTGATGCACACAATGTTAGAAACTTTCCAATCTCATTTTCCTTTTGTTCAAGAAATTTAAAATGGTTAAAGTTTGCAATACAAATACCAGAAAAATGAGGATTATTTAAGCAGCCTGGAGCAAAAAGTTGCCAAAAAGATGAGAAAGATTCAGTTTTTAAATGAATACAAAACAAAGCCAATGTATAGATAATAAACACTGAGAACTGACCAGTTAATGGAATGATTAGTTAAACCTTGTAACAGTAACAATTGAAGTCCGATGCAAGTTTACTTGGAAACAAGGCCCAGGGTACACAGCAGGGCTTACTCCCTAGCTAGGATTATAGCACAAGACATGTGCTTCTTGAATTTACATTACAGGGTGTAAAAATTAGATGCACAAAGGTTTAGAGCCTGAAGGATTTTCTTTCATTGGAAAGAGAAAGAATTATTTTAAAAGATTATCAAGACAGTAGGGAGGCTACAGTTGCAGTCTGGATTAAGTTAAATCTAGAGACCAGAAGGCAGCATTGAAGCAGTAATTTAAGAAGTATCTGTACAAAAATAAGTTGCTTTTAAAATGTGAGTGTTTCTACAAATCCAGTGCCTAAAGCAGCCACTATGGTAGATTGTTAGTTTGTGAAATAATGTTTTCAGTGATCCAATATCTTTAATCCACTCCAAAAAATAGCTGAGTAGGAATTTTCTTATTGTGGCCGTTTGTAATTTCCATTTAAAATGGTGGGCTTTTAAAGATTGCTCCATCTGCTTTGAGTCTTGGAATCATTTCTTCTCACAATTTGCTGGTTCTGCAGAAGTCTGATTATATTTGTTACAGTTACTGGTTTTTAAAATCCCCATGCCCTGACATACATTTTAAGTATCTTTTCCAAATGTAACATGTACAAAATTATTAATTTAAAATCATCCTTGGAAAGAGCACTGTAAAAAAAAAGATCCCTGGAAAGGAACAGATCTGTCTTTTTATGTTTTGTAAGTTGTACTTACCCAACATTTAAAGTTTGATTTTGCCTGACTTATAGTGCAATCCTATATATGTCTGCTCAGGTGTAAACCCCATTGAGTTTAATAGGATTTACTCTCAGTAAGGGTATATATAGGATTGTAGCCTCAATTTACTTGAACGTTAGTTTTTGGGTTTTTGTTTTTGTTTTTGTTTTTTTTTGGTAGATCATGGAGGCGGCTGTCTGGGGGAATGTTTACCTTTTGTTTATTTATAAATGGTGTAATGCATTTTTTATTTTTTAAATTATGTATATTTCTTTTTTAATGCACAAATGTTTACATACAACTACTGCAAATTTGTGTATATTGTCACCAAGCTTTATTCAGTTAATGTGTCTCTCATCTGAAAATGTAAGCTTGCTTACTTTTTCATGTGAGATATTTTTTACATAACTGAGGTAATGCGGACAATAAATATTAACACAAAATTGGTGTGTGTGTCTGTGCTACGGCAGGTGTGATACTGTCATGGAGTGACATTGAGAGCCCTTCCTTCAGTGTGAACACACACTTAACATCTCATTGTTGCACACTGTTTTGTGTGCTAGAGGAATAAACTTATTTCCATGTTTTTCAGGGGTACAACCTTTGCACCTTTTGACAAAAAAAGTTCTATCATTCTCAGAGTACCCCAGCCAATCATGCTGGCTGAGGCATGCTGGGAGTTGTTGACTTTTTCCCTTTCTAAACTGGGCTGAAAGCAACAGAATGAGATTCAATAAAGACAAGTGGAAAGGAAAAAGAAACCAAATCCATCGATACAAGATGGGGAATACGTGGCTCAACAGAACTGAAAAAGAAAAGATCTCAGAGTAATTGTGGACATTAGGCTAAATAAGAGCCAACAATGTGATGCCAAAATGACAAATGCTATTTTGGGATGCATTAATTGAAGTACTACTTCCAAATCACAAGTAGTAGTAGTTCCTTTCTCACTAGTCAGACCCCATCTGGAATACTGTGTCCCGTTCTGGGCACCATAATTTAAGAAAGATGCAGAAAAATTAGAAAGGATCCAGAGGAGGGCAACAAAAATGATCCAGGGTTTGGAAAAACTGTTCTATGAGGAAAGACTAAGAGAACTGAGCATGTTCAGCCTTGAGAACAGAAGACTAAGGAGGGGGACATGGTATCCCTCTATAAGTACCTCAAAGACTGTCACAAAGAGGAAGGTTAAGATCTCAACTTGCTGATACCAAAGTGCAAGACACGGAATAATCAATTCAAGCTGCAACAACCCAGATTCAGGCTAGATATCAGGAAAAGTTTCCTCATTGTCAGAGCAATGGAACCAGCTGCCTAGAGAAATGATGGGCTCTCCACACTAGACATTCAAGGTGAAACTGGACAGCTATCTGAGTGGGATGGTGTAATATCCTGCAACATCCTGAGTCCTGCAACAATGGGGTTGGACCTGATGGCCTGGGATGACACACACACTGTTGTTCAGTGTTAAAGCATGTGCTGGGTGTGCTAATTTCAGCTTCCTTGAAATTTCAGAGTCCCTGACAGCTCTGGTGAAAAGGATTGGGTGGGACATCATGTGAAAGACCTGCCTGATACCCTGGGCAGCTGATGCCTCTAGGAAGGGACAAAGCAGTCCATTCCAGAGAAACAGTCTGATCTTTCTATGTTCCCATGAGGCCCAAATTTGAATTCCATCTGAAATTTGAGGCAGAGTCTTTTCCATTGCAGTACCTGTGGTTTGCAGATATTCTGCCCAAGATTCATAGAATTCATCTTGTCTTTATAAAGCAGATCAACACATTTCTTTCCAGTGAGACTTTG